AAGGTGTTTGCGGAGTCCGTCCTCACTCCAGAATTGTAGGCGGTGTCAATGCCAAACACGGAGATTGGCCGTGGCAGGTTCAGCTGCGCACAAAGGGTGGTTTCCCCTATTGCGGTGGATCACTCGTCGATCCTGAATGGATTGTAACTGCTACTCATTGCATCGAAGGAAAATCACCCAGCTCCATTGTCATAAGGTACGGTCAAGCTTGCCACACGATGTAAATATAACACCTATTTCTTGTCGAACTTTTGATACGTAACACGACTAAACTATAGCTTCTCCATTGCACAAGAATCACGAGCAGGCTTTCGACAAGGTAGCTAAGGATGCTGATCGAATAGTTTTGTTATAAAAGAAATTTTTTAAAATATTTCTTTTTTTCCCAATATTTTCTTGGTCATCAACAGTCGACAAACTTATGTACGAAAGAAAGTCAACATACTAAGCTTTCCAAAAATATCGAGGATTGAGGTTATCATGAATTTATTAGAGTGCATATAAAAGAGTTGTTACATTAGATTTCGACGAATAAGTTTCGCTCTCAGGGTTGACCTCGTCCTATATGAGTGGTATGACATTTTTTATAACCCTGGTCTTTTCCTTTTTAGACTCGGCGCCCACCGACGTGTTAATGTGGTTGGAACTGAGCAGGACATTCCAGTTATCAAAGTAATTCCACATCCGCAATATCACCAACCGTACCGATACAGCAACGATATCGCCTTACTGAAACTGGAGAGACCAGCTCAATTAAACAGGTATTACAAGTATTACTATTGGAAACTAGAGCAAGGAAACAATAACTAATGACTCTAGATGATAGCTACATTCACTTTCTGATCAAAGAGAACCAGTTTTGTTCAGAAGATCCTTCTTCTATATCAATGGAACATTTTAAGCTTCAAATAACAAATCAGGTTTACCACTACAATAAGCATTTTTCTATAAATTGACCCAAACATCGCAGTTTTATGACACAGCTATCGATTTTTAAAAGTTTATTTATTCCATATATCAGCACATACAAACACATAATCAAATTCATGGATAACCTCTCGATGATTGACTATTTAAAAGTTTACGTTGTTGTAAGTGAACGCCATATTTATGAGGTAACCGGACAACATTGATACTCCCATACTGGTCTTTTTGACCTTTAGGTATGTGAACCTGGTTTGTCTTCCCCAATCTGTTCCTGCACCAACCGACGGCACCAGATGCTGGATCACAGGCTGGGGCCGACTTGCTTCCGGGGGTGCTACTCCAGACTATCTTCAGCAGGTGCAGGTCCCGGTGGTCAGTTATGCTCGTTGTAATGGAGCCTACCCAGGAAAGATTCATGACTCCATGATCTGCGCAGGCCTGGACCAGGGAGGAATAGATTCCTGTCAGGGGGATAGTGGGGGACCGATGGTCTGTGAGACTGGAGGAAGGTTCTATCTGCATGGCGCCACCAGCTGGGGTTATGGATGTGCCAGCCCTGGAAAGTTTGGCGTCTACGCGAAAGTGAAGTACGAGTTGAACTGGCTTAACTCTGAAATGTCCAAAAACTAGTAAAACCGACAACAGCCCCATGGGGATATTTAATATTTAAAAAGATTAATAAGAGGGTTTAATTTGGGAAATATTACTCACGCAGGAAATATCATAGATATTGTAGAATGATGGGTCAATAAAAGCAATGGACAGAAATACTGAGTATTTATTGACCTAAATACATGGTAATATTCCTTTTAAGAAAAGAAAATATAATATAAAGTAAAGAAAATAATATAAAGTTTATGTCAAAGATGCCCTGCAAGACGGTCGCTGATGAAAATTAATTATACAAGTCCTTTCCCTTCACCAAATTTTGTTCCCAAATTTTGACTGATATATATATATTTTTTCGCGTCGAAATTAAGTGCTCAATCTTAAAAGCTCAGTAGATAGCTGATGAAAAGTTCAAAAACATGCTCGCAAAGAAGGTGCACTAAGAAATCAAAGAGCCCATATCGTGATTTTTCGCTTAAAAATTTCGCGGTAAATTGGCCCTTCTGTTTATGCACTGGAATCTTAGCTATAACTTTAAGTTCTCGTTAATCAGCCGAAGGTGAGAAACTTAGATGTTAATAGTTTGCCGCTCCCAGAATTTAAGAGCAAGATGTTGTGAGACCAAACAGAGGTCATGTCTTTTTGTGTGTGGAGTCTTCAAGTAAACAGTTGCCTACAATTGCAATTTGCATAAACGGCAACAAAATAAAAGAGGTCCAGCGGATTTTGACTCACCTTGAAGTCCATTCAACAGTTTTAACGTTGTTTTAAACCGGTTATGCTAAAGTAGAATTTATCTTTGGAAAAATCCGATTTCAAACAGGGCCCTTTTGTTGGTTGCTATTTTCTTTATGGCAAAAGCTAATCTGTTTTAGTGAGTACTGCTCAAATTAGGGGTTTATTTGAAAATCACCTGGAACTAGTACTCCTCTAGCAACATGTGGCTGGTAGAACACTCTTAAAATCCCCCAACATTCGGCAAACTGTAAGATTCATGACAAAGAACGCTTTGTCGATTAAGCGTAAAAACTCCCTAATTGAGGGAATCAGATTTATCTGAGCTATCTCTACTTTTGCTTCCCTCTTATTTGACCTTATTGTTTTTTCCCCATTTCATTTCCTTTTTTTAACCTTTTACTCAAACAACAAGTGGTTTCTAAAAGTTTTTCAATTGAATACTTTAACGAAGGTGTTTGTGAGCACTTTACTCGCATTGAATAAACACAATAACCTGTAAGTTTCTGATGAAGCGCCTCACCTTTTTTTATACCTTCCTATAATATAAAGTTTATGTCAAAGATACCCTGCAAGACGGTCGCTGATGAAAATTAATTATACAAGTCCTTTCCCTTCACCAAATTTTGTTCCCAAATTTTGACTGATATATATATTTTTTTCGCGTCGAAATTAAGTGCTCAATCTTAGAAGCTCAGTAGATAGCTGATGATCCATTAAGCGTAAACAACAGAATTTACTGATTGGCCGATTGATATCTGATCAGATTATTTATCTGAAGCCTAAAATTGCCTCTTGGGAAATTCCGTAGGACGCCATTTATACATTGTTTATGGCATGCAAATATAAGGCCATGCATAATTAATAACTTTTGTCCTAAAATTATGCAAAGCACCTCATGGCAACATTTTTCTCGTTTCTGTAGCATGGTTTGAGGATATTCCGTCTTTTGCACAGTTTTCTTTGGGTCTTTACTATAGCGAATTGTAGGATACCTTTATAACCAGAAGTAACGAGTGTAAAGAGTTCTCTAAAAAAGGTAAGATATGCTTCTTGTTGAATGAGGACGGTTTGAATTCGATACCCGCTTTCAGGTGGCAGATTTGTTCATATGATAACTTTTATTCGCAATTCTACTCGATTGTGAAGCTGAAGATTTAAGGGGAATTTCTGCATTCATTTATTTTGATACTCTGATGCTGGTGTTTTACAAAAAAAAATATATGGTCAAAACATTTTCGAATGGTTTCACCAGCAAAAAGGCGATTAGTATAAAGCGATATTCTGAAGAGATTCCTTTTCATCCTAAATATAATTCCAGTCTGACGGGAATATTCCTTGAATTGACACTTCGCAAAGTAGCTTATGTCATTTTCTTACGTCGCGAACCGCTGACCAAATAATGGCTTGCAGACTCTAAAATTACTTCGGATTTGATATTTATGCCATTGTCGTAGGCAGCTCGCCTTAGTATAAATTTGATGCGGTTTCTGTTTCATGAGTTTGGATGTAAGTTTTGGCATAGTACATTATATCGGTATGTACTGGTTTATCGGTAAAGTACATCAATATGTAAAATGTTTCCAACTAATGTTTGCATATTTAGCTTCTCAGGAGAGCACGTCTTTGCCATCATTGCGGGACACTTTTCAATTTCATTCACTATCAATTTTCGTATAAATGGCTTCCTTTGACCCCTTTTAAAAATGAGTGCACGCGTAGTTAATTTGACGTGGTCAAATCAAAGCGCTTTTTTGCTACAAATCATCGATATCACCAGGTACGTAGGATGAGGTCATGTTTGAACGTGACCACATAAAATTGGAAACGAACATTTTAGGTAATATAGCCTAAGAGTGATTGAGATCAACGTGCAAATTGAATTACCAAAATTATTGTTGCATAGGCAAAGGAAAATTGCTTTTGCTTACTCAAGGAAAAAATGTGTGCTTTTGATGTAAGTACCTAGTTTTTCCCTATCGAGTTGCAGTCTAGATCATATCACCTTAGGGCTAATTGCACTTTTCCAGATGTGTTAAACAGTTGGTTTGTTGTATTATCTCTTTGAGTTAGCATCAAAAACAAGTCAAAATTTAAGAACACATCTAAAGCGAACTTATCAATTTTTGTTGTCACTTTGCGTCCGTTCAACAACTTAATTGAATGTTTTGATTTCCTCTCAAAACTGAACGAAGTCTGTTATTCCGGTTGTTCAGAGCAGGAACAACGAACCGCAAGAAAAAAAAAATGAACAACGAGAACCGAGCGGTCGCGGTCACACTATTTCAATAGTATTCAAAAAGTCCATTTAAATATCTACATTACATTACTAGCTGTTAACAGTGTACGTTGAATGCGCTTTGAAAAGTACTACTCGAAAAGAGTATGAAGAGATTGAGTATTCTATGAAAATCACGCGCAATTACGGCCGTAGTTTTAGCATATACATCAGTGCCCCAACTCGAATTTCGTCACGAAAAATAAGAACTCCTGAATTCTGACATCTTTTCACCGTTATTAAGGTCAAGATGTAAAATTTTAACAAACAATTTACGGTTAAATTCAACAGTTTTCTTTTGGCATTTAGGTAGTTATGCTAGACTATATTTAACCTTATGACGTCAAAATAAATTAGTTTATTTAGGCCCACGTAAAACATGGTTCGATTTGAATTTGTTTTGTGAACACTTATGCAGTGGCGTATTTTTTGAATGGAAAGTGGGTGAATTGCGTAGGAAATTATTTTTTTTTGTAAGTCTTTGATAAAATTGAGCAAAATTCATTTCAAGTTGTCGGAAGAAAAGACGCAATCAGAGATTGAAATAGCCTATGTCTGGCAAAAGTTGAATGCCAGTTTCGATTTGAACCGATGCAAGCCTTTTGTTTATAGCTCTTTGTTAAGTAATATCTGACAGTAATAAGGAGCTTTCGTTAGTTTGAATATCTCTGTCACTCAAAGCTAATGAGATTTTTTTTCCAGTTTTTGGTCAGATCTGATATTTCTATGTCAAATCTAAAGTTGTCTGTCATGATTTATTTTGGCATTTAGCATTATACTCTCCTTTAGAGTCCCTAGGCGCGAGGACAATTTATGTAACACCAAAGCCTCAGATATAAAAATTTTACGTTTTTATATAAGCGTAGTGAATCGTCAAAAATAGGTTTTTTCTTCCGCTACAAAACAAGAAATCGTGCAGTAATTATAAATGTAAAGAAAAAAAAAGAAAAAATAACCTCCACTTAGGCAAAACTCATCACCTTTAATGGCCGCGAAATTTGACTCGGCGTTACTTAAATACAATATTTGAAAGGCATATTAGGCTAAAACCTTTTTTGTATTATTTCCATGTTATCCCTTTGAATTTTGATTTCATCTCTCGAGAGTCCTCAGCGAAATAACATTAATTAACAATATCTCGCAGCAGGCAAGGCCTTTGTAATCAAAAAACGTATTTGAACAATCCGACACAATACAAAACCGCAAATTGAAAATGTGAATAAAACTCTCGTTGCAGGACGAGAAATGCTAATGTACTAACTAAAAGAATGGATTATTTCCTCAATAGAAGAGAGCACAAAATAATTGCGTGGGTATCAAGGCTTAAACTCTTAATTTTAGCCGGCGAATGTGCGTGGAAGAGGTCTCCGCGCGAGAAGCTTTAATTCATGTTATGATTTTCTATTGCTGCGAGAGCACGATCCTTAGAGCAGAGGATAATGTTATGCATCTGAAGATTTTGTTGACTAATTTGCATAAGGCTTGGTTTGGTTCACCTGTCGCCCTGTCGCTCATCGATTTGTCTAAAGATCAAAGCGAAATTTAATCGCGCTCGGCTAAATTCGACGCATCAACAACATCGTGAAGTTTTGAAAACCTTACAAATTCCGCATACTGCTCAGGTACGATTTTTCTTCATGTACAAGATACATTAATCGATATTTCTTCTTTTTTAGACATGAGATCCAATATGTTTATCCCGGTTTGAAAAATACTACGTCGCTTCATGACTGTTTTGGTTGCCTTGAATTTGTAATTTGACAACTTTAAAAAATTTTCCCGACCTCGCCGATCTTTCTCTTGGAAATATCTCCCTTGCTTTCGATTCTTTCCTCTGGGCAACCCAAATGGTTTTGTATTCAATAAGCTCAAGGTGTTTTCAAGGGAATTCAAAGACAAGTGAAACCAAAACAATTGCAAATCTATTTGTGATGGATTCAGCAAAAAATAGAAAATTCAGTTATGAGAGGAAAAATGAGGGATATTAGAAATACCGAAAGTTTTTTCTTATTGTTGTAACTTACAAAGAACCGTTCATGTCTAGATCTTTCAGGTTTCCGTCCAGTTGACAGCCGGAAATGTAAGCGAGCACCGAAGACGGTCCAAACCCGAATAATTTGTTTTCGATGCACACGAAACGAAAACATCATGGAGACAAAATGCAGAAGACAAATCTGCTTTCGTAAAAGCTGAATTAGCTACTTCTCTAATGAATGCTGCAACAGTGGTAAGTAAAGAACACATTTTGTTCTATGTTACAGTAGTTTCCATTCAGGGATTAATGGCTTCGGAATACGTCAAGCTTCATTCTTATTCCCACTTAAACTGCAGTAATATTTATAAAGCTAATGCGAAAGGAGTATCAATTTTTAGACTTAACGCAGTATTTCTTTCAATGATCAAGTCTTGTCAGGTTTTTTGTCTCACAGTTGGCTCGTCGTATTGCTACAGCAAGTTGAAATTTTATCAGGCGGAAAAATACGATTTTTGTAAATTTACCACGAGTCCATTTGCAAACGAAGCTTTGAAGCATTTACAAGACTGAACTTTTCGGAAATCCATTAATACCTTTGTTTGAATTAAACAAGGGCAAACTTATGTTCCAGATGAAATACTCCTACTGATTTAGTTCGTAAAAATAGCTGAACTAGCCATATTTATGCAATTTAATGCGAGACGTTTTTTTCCAAATAGGTGTCGATTATATACTTACCTGGAAAGATGCAACTTAAAACAAATTGAAATATATGACCATATTTTTATTCAAAATTATCTCCCTGGTAATTCTAAACTAGTTGCACTCATGCAAATTGTATAAAGTGAGGAAAAAATACGCTTCACGATAAAAGCTAAACGATCCGCTGACTCAGAAATCAAACTTTGAACGCAATCGAACTTTTTGCACCTCTCCTAACCCGTTAGGAACTATAAACACTGATTTGTCCTTGCGCTGGTGGATCGATCCATAATCCTTGCATTTATACTCTACATATGTTTTCCATGTCCGTTGAAATGCTACGATTTACCGAATAATTTTCTGAATAATTTCTTTATTAAAGTTGCATGTTTAAAAACGGGCCACCGTTCTGAGCTGATTAGCCCCTGTGGAGAATAAATATTTCTCGCGAATTATCAGCGCTTTTCTTTTCTATTTACGCGTGTTTTACCACTTGTAGAGAAACGCTTTGACACCTAATGCCTCGGATGTACCGGATTTGAACACGAAATATGCGCGTAATCTCATTTGAGCATTCCCGCGGTGATTTTTCCACAAGAATATCTCCTGGTCAGATCTAATGTTTGCTTCGTGAGCTATGTACGTCATCTACCAAGATCTGAGGCTTCAAACATAAAAAGGTGTTTCGTTCTCACTCTGATAATTGATTGTTCTTTCAAACTCTACATTAACCTCGAAACCTCGAATTAGCCGACTCAGTTTTGGTGTCATGCAACGATATTTCAAGTGGAATAGACATCGATAATTAGTAAACACTGAATATATGAAATCGTCTTTTTGTCTTTCTGAATGACTGATTACGCTAACTTTCCAGAAACTTAACTGATATCCATTAGAACTTTGTACATTATTAAGAAAACATACTTCTTCTGCATTTCATTCTTTGGTTTTTCCCTTTGCCTCAGTTTAGCTTTGAAGACTGTGATCACATATTTCACCATTTTCGCTATCATTTCACCAATTTACATTTGCAATGATTCTTTGAACTATTCGACAATTTAAGCGATTCTGAATTCAATTTTGTCTACAAAATCCCTTTTGTCTCACATATAAGTTCGTAAATTGAAGAAATCCCACCTTGGTATAGGTGTCGAAAGTATAGCGCGATAAACGTGTCAGTCTGTTGGAGAAGAATTGTTTGCCAAATTCAGTTTTCAGACATGATACGATCCTTAATCCCCTAAACGCAAGTGGAGCATGAGATAGCTTTTATCCTTGACTCTACCAACGCTCTCTACTATTCAGGAGTTTCTTTTGGAAGAAAACAGCCGATTCAGAAAATCTTTTTTTGATTCGTTTTAAAATAATTTTATGGTCACACCAAGAATTGCAAAAGGAGATCTCTAAAAATCATAATCACAAGATGTCGGTAAGTTGATATTCCTGCTTTGTGGTCTTCATTTAATGGTAGGAAATGCTAAATGAAGGTCATCATCCCATATTGTCCAAGAAAAAACGCTCAAGGGAAAATGATGAATATTGGCACTCTGTAGGAAGCTCGAAAGGAATCCGAGAAGTAATGCATTGCTCTTGCGTCAATCCGCGCTTTGATTGGTCAAAAATAGTCATGCTACTCTTTTAACCAATAGCATGGCAAGCTCAAGCTCAAGACTTCCTTACGCAAGCTTTCCCGCGCTTTAGATTGTTAAGTATTTTTACTTTGAGTACCGTTGAGACACTGGTAACGGCTGCCTGTAATTTCCACCATCATTATGATTGGCTGCCATGATTACGCGGGTTTACAGATGCAAAATTATCTTTTACACTGATATTCTATGAACCAGACTCAAATCAGCTGAACGCTTTCATCAGCCTGATTAAAGAAAATGGTCCAAAACACTTACACAACTGTTAGCTTCACCACTGACAGAACTCACAGATAAAAGGGAGAAAACTTAGATCAAGTTGTGCTCTCCGTGCGTCAATGAAACTTTTGGTCGCGTAATTATCGATGAAAGATGCGAGCAAAAAGTACTAATTTTGATAGCTGTAGTTTTGAACACTCATATTACTCATGGAGACCCTCAGATCCAACCACTGTGCTTGTTACGCAATTGAAATAAAATCCACTTTGTAATTTGAGTCGTAATGTTTGTGATCACCGTTATGTGACGAAGGTATTTGGATGAATAATGACTTCAAAAGCCTTCTTCATTTTGGAAACTGGGCTGGTTTCATTTCTGAGCATGACACACTGATGAGGTCCAGCAGTTTGTCTCTGTCATAGAATTATTGCAGAGCGTGCTTGCAATCCTAACTCTTCGGTCGTTTGTTGCGTCGATTTCAGCTAAAAATTCTGTTTAATTTCTTATCATTGTGCTTACTAATTTGAAACAATTATTAACGCTTTCATAACTTGAATGTCTGCTTATTAAACCATGTCTCTCTAGCTCTCTTGTAAGTTAATAAAATGTGTTAATAATGCTTTGCTTTATTATTCTTATTAACGTCTTCGATTCAAAACGTAACATGGAATTTTTCTTCTCTAACTCTGGCTCCACTTCAGGCGGGAAGACGGGCAGACGACAAGGCCGAGGAGACAGGCGTTTTGGTACTCTACTTCTTCTTATCTTGTTCTTTTTTGTACTATTGTTTCCATTTTCCTTTCTTTGTCTCACTGCATGACATATGCATGCCTACATGGTATATCCTCTTATAGAGCACATTGCCACTGTACTTTTGAACAGTGGATGTAGTGTTCACTAAAACCACTTTTAATACTCTTGCCTTTGCACGAGGCACAAAAATGCATCTGTTTAAAAAAAGCTGTTAATCTCTTAACAGAAATACCACGAGGTTAGTTACTTAATTTAATTGCACTCCACGCGTAAGATGTATTTGCATACAGAAACTCTTTAGTATAATTTTATTCTAAGTTCTCGATATGACGACAAAGATCGGGCGAGCTTTCCTTCACCTCAAAAGAAAAAAAAAGAAAAAAGGCCCATACAATCGCGAAAATGAGCAAAGTGTAGGAAAATTGTCACATAGCCATCCATTTACTATATTAGCAAACTTCCTTTCCTTTCAGGCTTCATTTGAAATTCTTTTTGTTCTCTTCAAACAGCATTTTGATCTCCTTCAAAATGAAGAGTTTCTGACCGATTTTGTAGAATTTGCTGCATAGAGACCATAAGCCTTGACGCAAAGGTGCACTGATAAAATCAGCTTGACTGATTTCAACAACAGGAGTCTAAACTTTTCACAAAAACATGTTCGTTGAAAGGAACCTATGAGACTGATCAAGTTTGGGAGAATTTTTGCTAGAAGCGAGGAAAACATGAGAAATTCCTAATTTACTTTAAATAGAACTAAGCATCGTCTAATTCGATCAAGTTCGGTAGATTTTCTTTACAAAATCAATTGCTAGATAGATTGCTTGGTTGAATAATTATAGTAGCAACTCAACATTGTAAACTAAACAAACCAAACCTTTAGCAGAGAAACCTAACATAAAGAAAGTTTTGTATCTCTTTTATTATGCACCTTTGCGTTACAAGGCGAAAATCGGTAGAGAACGACTCTGCTCAAAATAAGCTTTGGGAAATTCACTGAGCTGTCCAACAACTTTTTTTCACCACCTGCACGAGGAAGTAGCTGGTATACGCGTTGTTTGTCAATGAAGCTTCTAGTCTCCCTTTTTTCATTTTTTTTTACCCCCGGCTTATGTTGGTTCGCGGTGAGGTTTTAGAACATTAACGAATGGATATCTCTACTTTAATCGTAATTATTGATTTCGTCTTCCGTTCGTTGTGTTTACATGTGGTTTGTTGAAGATATTCAATTGTATTGTCTGTCATATTGTTCTCATAAATGTAAGCGGTAATATTTGCATGTTAATCTTCTGAACGGAAGTTACAAGCTCATTCACCACTATGATTTTATTAACTCGTGCCACATCACAGTAGATAACTGAAAGGCTGACGATGCCCAACTGTACGAGTCGAAACGTGTTCAAGACGTTAGTTACTACATGTGATTTTGTTTCGTTTCAGATCGGTGAGGGTGACAAGTTGATCAATGTGGTTTTGCTCAATGGAGAGAGGCTTAACGTTAGAGTACAGGTAAAACTCTTTCATTTCAACCGAAGCTTTCTTAGTTTTTAATTCGATCGCGTCATGATAAAGAAACTTCTTAAGCAAAGCAGAAAATGGTACACTGACGATTTTACCATTTGTCTACTTGAACATTTTAGTCAACAGAACTCGAAAAAAGTACGGGGGTTTAATGTGCCGAAATATTTTTTTAAAATAAGGCAAAATGGTGACAATTTTTTATGAGTTACGAAGGCATTGTGAGGGGTCAAAGTTATCTTTCGCCTTCAACTTTAGCTCAGTTTATATTTGAGGCTTCTATTTCAGCTCCTTTGTTTCTTCTTCGTAGACATGAATTTTTGGTTAATTTATGTCAGGAAATACCAGAGCTTCCATCTAACGTTCAAGAAATTGGCTTTACTTTAGGGGAATAAAAGAATGTGATAGCAATTGCTCTTAAAATATTAATATTTCAGTAAGTGGTTTCTTTTTGTTAGAACACCTGCAAAAAGGATGAGACGATTTAGTTGAAAAGTTTCTTGACCCCTTTTACTGGTCGCGATTTATTTAATGCTTTTCCGATCATTTGATTCACAAAACAATATCGGCCACAAAATTGCAATCCTGAACGATATAAAGATCAAAAACAGCTAACCAAGCAACCTTAATCAACCACAGGCATCTGCTAGTGGACAAGATTTGTATACCATCATCACGGATCATCTTGGGCTCACAGAAACCATTTTCTTTGGACTAATGATCATAAAAGGTAATTAAAATGTAGGTAAATTTTATTTCGCGATCTCTGGGCTGCAATGTATGGATCGGAAATTAATGATGAGCAAGAGTGTGTGAGTTCTCTGGAAGTTTATTCAATTTCGGAGAATTTTCAGAAGTTACTGTCGATGAAGCTGATACTATAGATATATCCAGCGCGGGAGTAAATTGAAGCCCTGTTTGATTTTCAACTTCAAGTTAAATTGGAAGTCAATTCTTCTTGACGACTTTTGAGTTTAAACATTCGTGCAGATTTCCGTTACTCTCTTCTCAGTTTAAAATTTCCATATTAGTCAGTTGTTCTCTTCATCAAAGGACATTTCATTTTTACCTTGTCCTCGAATCATGCGCTTAAAAATTATTAGCTTTTTCATCCTTTGTCTACAGAGATCTAATTTAAGGCTGGTTTCTCTGCCGTAAATCTATTTAGTTTGAGTAAATGCTTATATTTACAGATGGAGAGCACGAGTTCTTAGACTTGAATGAGAAACTTTCCAAGTTGGCAAAGTTTGCTCCTCATCTATGGAAAGACGATGTAAGTTGTTTACTGAGACAAATGATCTTCTACTGTTCGTTACCTGATACAAGGTTGTCGTCATTATTGCTTAATGGGTTAATTAAGTTTCTTCACAATATCCATATTAAGTGAGCGATAAAATGCATTTTTTGAGCAATGCATAAATATCTTAATTTCAGGTTTCTTGCAATTCCTCCCTTGTTTTCACCATCTTCTTCCGTGTCAAGTATTACGTGGAGAACATTTGCCTTCTTCAGTAAGTGTTACTTTAAAGTTTTGGTCGGGGTCTCTTAGTCGGGAAATATCTATATTCATTAGTTTAAACGATCACATTAAAATTTATAAAGTTTAACAAACAACCACCGTCAATAATTGTTTCTCCCGGAAAACTCTCCTAGACAACAGTCTACCAGACACTTGTACTACCTGCAGCTGCGAAAAGATGTCCTGGAAGGAGGAATTTACGTTCACGAAGAAACTGCTATGCTTTTAGCTTCGTATGCTCTCCAAGCAGAAGTAGGGGATTATAACCAGACCGTTCATGGCTCGGATTACTTCGTTCCAGAGCATTATCTTCCTCAGAGAGTAAGCTTTAACTTAAACCAGATGGCCATCTTTTTACGAAGACATAGACATCGGAGGTGTCCAGACACCAGGAGCCAAATGTTGGGAAAGATACATTGCGTGTTCCTAATGTTTCTCGCTAGATTTGTTTTAAAAATTTTCTGTTAGTAGCTGTGCGCCGTCCTAAATTGGTATCGATGTATGTGAGACTGACTGCTTACCCCCTGTGAATATAGATATCGCACTTTGGTGGCCAACACTCTCTGTAATGTGGTCCGGACGGTGAACAAAGCTTTCCGGTGTTGTCATTGTTGATGTTGTTGTTATTGCTGTTGTTTTCGTTACCTTGTCTGTCAGTCGCGTCTGTTTTATTTGTGAGGAGAAAATCCTTTTTCAAGTACGTGTTTCACTAAGCAAGAAAAGAAAGATGTATCATAGACCCACAGACATAACAGGAATGAAGCGAAATTGAATTTCCTTCACTTGCAGTTGAATAATACCCTTTTTTCTTCGTTTATTTAAAGGCAATTGCCAAACTTACTGCTTCCTACATAAAGAAGCATCTTCCTGCGATGCATAAGACTCACACTGGTCTCAGTGATGCTCAGGCCGAAATAGAGTATTTAAAGGTTAGTAGACCAGTAAACAGCCTCTTTGTCTCTGTGTGTAATTCTCACAGCTGGGACATGCCTAAGAGATCATTGCCGTTATGTAGAGGTTAAGATAAAACTAAATGTAAAGAACATCAACGGAAACAAAAAGGTATCCTTTCTTGGGCTTTTTGGGCCGTCCCAGAATGGTGCTATGGTCTTCAGTAAAAGGGTTGAAGTTTTGGTTTTGCACCAACGTGACGAAAGGGAAGCCAGCATGTAGGGTGAAAATCTATATCTTTTCACCTCTGTTAATCAAGTCTCCTCCACTCCTTATTGTAGCCCTCTGATAATTCCCTAAAACTGTTTCCGCAGGAGGCACAAAAGTTACAGGAGTATGGAATTATATTCAACAAAGTGTCAAAGGTAAGGCCAACCGAATGCGTTTGAGTGGCAATTTAGACAAAACAGAGTTTCAAAATTGAGTTACGAACATGAGAAGATTTCCAGGGGATCATGAAACAAAACGTGGAAATGTTATCTTTGCAGTTTAAAAAAGACAAGAGGGGCGGTTTTAGCTTAGGCATCAGTGTCAGAGGCCTCATTGTGTACGAGGTAAGTAGTCTCCAGTGATTTTATTCTAGCCCGTTTGGACCTGTTCAGCGCGCCGTGACACTCGATTAGTTCTTATTTTTTTCACAAGCTATAGAGTCTTTTCTATGAACGTCAACTTTTAATAGCGAACTAGTTGCAGCTTGACAGCCTTGAGACAGTTGTGCTGACAAAAATTATTCATATAACTTTAATGATGATTCACTGCGTCGAAAGCGCGATTTATCCGGAAAAAAACAATGCTCCAGTTTTAGAAATACTGTTCTCCGCTTAAAAGACTATTGGTAGCAAAAACTTGTGCGTTGGTCCCTGAGATCCCAATCTTCCCCGTTTCCGGCCTCACAACAACCAACGATCCTCCGAGGTTAGCTGATTCTCCTTGTTAATTCCCCAAGATAACGATTGTCCCTCCTTTCCCAACAACCAACACCCAAAAAATATGACAGCCACTTCAAGTTTGTAAATCAACCTAGTCTAATGTGCAGTAATATTTGTTTTCTAGGAAAGAGGAGTCGTAAAAAGTCCGACATTTCGTCATCCGTGGCAAAACATCAAGAGGATGGCCTTTCATGTTAGTATTCATGCTATTTTTTATTAATTTGTTCGCTTATGAGCCTTCTGGAAGCTCCTGTTATCAAGATGGTTACATTTGTCCAAAGAACTCTCCTGATTTCCTATCCTCTCTTTGTCTTCGTAGCGGCGACGATTTTTCATTGAGGCACACGGTGATCCAGAAACCTCCAAAATGGTTTTGTACACATGCAGTTATAAGAAGTAAGTTTTTGTCTTTATAAGCTATTTATTATAAGTAGATCTTAATCTAGCAGCGGTCATTTTGATGCCCCAGAATGAGAAACTTTTTTTCTTGTCCGTCAAACTTTGCAGCGAGAAGCAAGAATGTATCTTTTACTCAGAAAACTCAAAATTTTAGCCACCGAATAAACGTCTATCATTGAAACAAGTGGGAAGGTAAAATTGTCTATATTGATTTATTGGCGCTTGGATGATCAAAGAGACTTCGGATGGGAATTTTTGGCGTGTCTCTTTACTGCCATGGTAATTCTTTAAAATTAAATTCTTTTAAAAACATTCTGATCATGTTATCCTTAATAATCAACTATAAGAGCGATTTTTGTTATATTTTCGTTTAACTACGAAAGTATAAATGAAATATATTATAACTGAGACCTTCCGACGACATTGATCTTTAAAGCGAAATTGTAAATAAAGTCATTGGGCTTTAACAATGATTGGAAGCATGCCTCCTGGGAATCATTTGGGCTCTAGACATGAAGCGAAGGGAAGAGGGGGGCAAATTAATTTTCGAAGCCTTGCCGAAGGCTCAGTTTCTCAGGCTTTACTTTGTACGCTACATTTCAACGCTATCTACCTGTGAAGAATTAATTCGTCACTTAAGTCAAATCTTTAAAAATTCTGACCGACATATTAATTCATTACGTTCCATTATCGAGGCAATGGCAACTAAATCGCATGAGTAGTTAATTCCTTAAAAAAGATGACAAAGAAGTTAGTATGACTAAGGCGTCCTCGCTTCAAATCACAAAAGTTGTGTTTCACACTTTCCCACGTTGATGTGAATTTCCCAATTGTCAAAAGGTTACCGGGGGAGACGAAAAATACAAAATTGTTCCCAGTCTCAAAGATTTTCCAAGGCAACAGATGACATACTGTCAATTCGGTTGCTTGCGGAATTGATCAATGGTTCCACTGCACGTACAAAGCATGATTCTCGCGGGCAGGGAAATTCTCCCCCTCCTGATGTGCTTTATACTCTGGTGAGGTGAATGGCAAAGATAAACAAGTTTTCATAAATTACTGAGAATAATCTAACAAACATATTTGCTAAAGAAAGCAAATTTTGGCCAGTAAAGTAACTTACAGTATAATTTGCATGTATATAGCGAGCTTAGTTTGATGTATTGCAATATTTCAATGAAATTCCGACTCTAATGGGTGTCTTTTCCGGTTAAAGGTCCCGTTATTTGCTGAAAATGTGTACATCTTTCTATAAATTCCAAATGATGATGGGAATGAAGTTATCCAGCCTCAAAGAATATCCAAAAGATGGAGGTAAATAGAGTAAAATATGATGTTTTTATTACGAACCACTCACTATGTTGTCCATATTGTTAAATTTTAATTTACATACCGACAAAGAAGTCGTTGGGAAAAGACGCGCAGTATAATTCCTTGGGATTTTAGGTCGTAAAGCAGTTATAAACAAGCAGAAAATCACAAAAAATTTTTAGTAGCTTACGTAGTGCTGTCCTGTCATACGTCACGTCTTAATTCTACTAGGAGGTCAATTATTTTTTACAAATCAGCTGCTTTCACCCTCTTCAGACGCGTTGGTAGTTGTGATAATGAGTAAAAGAACTGTGGTAATATGTGGCTAATATGACTTTAGAGGGTTTGCTCAGGTTCATGAGGCCTTGATTTCTACAGGCTGCTCTGTGGCATGGGGTATCACTTTTTAGTCATTTGTTTGATGCCAAAAGATGGCCAAACATTGTCATTCGGCTACGAGTTCAGATTTACTGAGCAAAGAGGCTACTAATATTGTAGCAACACTTATTGTAGATAAATCAGCCTTTTTTGTATGCTATTGCAGTGGTCAGGATGAATGGAGTAGTAAAGACCGACGAATCCGACTCTCTGGCTGGAGATATGCCAGAATCAGCCGCGGGCAAGCCTGAAAACGAGTCAGGGGTCATACAGCCGCCTGGAATAGGTCCCGCGATACATCTGAACGGGTCAGCGTGCCCAGTGCAGGACCAGCCATTGCAGGTCAGCCACTTTATGTCGCTTTGCGTTTGTTTTCTTGAGCTTAAATAAACTACAGCTTCTCTTTTAAAAAACGTACGCCCAATCGCAAATTCGAGTGGAGATCTTGTTGGACTTTGAACCCAGAGTTCTTAGAAGGATTTGTTTCTGAGAGATTCCTACTTCATTTCTAGATCACGCTTGTAAAAAGCCAACCGGTTGGCCTCCAACCAGTTGAGGTTTTAATTATGTCACATTTGATTCATGGTGAATTTAGATTTTTTTTAATCAGTAGGCCAAAATGAAAACGACAGCATCACCAACAATTGTGTCCCCTAATATGTCTTAATAATAGTCTTAACAATCACAGGAATACCAAAGTACTCCTGACATTACGCAAAACTTTCTGAAACTGTTTCATGAGCCTCTATAACCGGTGACATCACCATCATCATTTACCTTGAGATGTCTATATGAAGGAATTAACCCCTGAATTTACACTGGATCGAGCTCTCACCAAATAAAAATCAACAACCTCGATTTTTTCCGAGTTGTTGAAGGAAGGGGTATACAAATTCTTAAAGAGCTTTTTAGTGAAAAAAGAAGCAATAAAGACTCTTTATTTACCTTGACTGACTTGATATATTTCAGGTCAGGGTTCATCCTGTTCAGCTTCAGAAGGTGAACGGGAGCCTGGGACTCAATATTATTGTAAGTATTTTATGAAAGAAGATAATCTTCGAATATTTGAAAATAATAAATAATGGTAAATTTTACTAATATAAAACTAAGATAAAAACTTAGATAAAACTTTAGAGAGTTTGAAAAAAAACCATTTGTGAATGATATTTCTGTTGCTAACTCTCACTTCTTTGAGAAATATTCTTCGAGAAAGGGGCAATTCAAATTCCTCTATGGAAAAAACATTTCTAAAGATTAAAAAAAAGAAAGAAAAAAAAAAGAAAAGACAGGAGAGTCTACACAATAACAAGAGACTGAAAAAGGGGCTCAAGCTCAAACTAAAAGCCGTTAAAAAGTTAACTGTCTTTGCTCAGCATTGTTTGGTATGGGTAATTTAGTATTATCAACAGAGTTGATAATGTAAATTGCCCACCGTAAAGAGTTTAAAAGCTGACGTTTCGAGGGTTAGCCCTTCGTCATAGCTATTTTCTGGTATAGTCTCAGTGGTGACGTCATATTCTCGACAGGGTGGTATCGAGTTGGGTGGTATTTATGTGAAGACCATGGCCGCAGAAGGTCCCGCCTCTCTCAGCGGAAAAATTAACATTGGTGAGTTTTCTTGATCCACATTCACTGAATACTAAAGCATCCTGACATAGTAACTTTTCTTGTAATGTATTAGAGATTTGATATCATTAGAAAATTCTGACAAACTGACACTTCACCATTTAAGAAGAGTTGAATTTAGCATGAAGTAAAGATTATTTCCCCTGAAATTTTAAACCCTTGGTTTGCCTGTCGTTTGACATTTCAGATCACTAATCATTGCTGAGGACCGACCAAAACAGTTTAAGAATAAAGGGTTATGCTCTTAAATGCTAAATAAAGGGGCAGGTTCTATCCTCTAAGTAGGCGGTCCTTATTGTCTTTCTGTGATTTGTTTAATTTACTTGGTTTTCTTTTGTTAGGTGACAGAATTCTTGAAATAAACGGTCAAAGTCTAGAGGGTTTATCAAGGCAAGAGGTAATTTATATGAAAAAGATTTTGGTCCTCTAGAACCAGAGAAGATTTGAATAATAGATCATCTTTAACCCTTATATCTTTTGTAGGATCCAAAATTAAATTACACTAGTGTGTCCACAAATAATTCTCAATAAGCGCATTTTGGGATCTCGAAATCTGTTCCAGTTAGCCTTACGACCTTCATTCAATTGTTCCTCTATTCCATTATAAAATTACTTCCTTTTTCCTGGTACGCAGGCTGTTAACATTTTAAGGACAGCACCTCATGTTTGCACAATGCTGATAGAGAGCTGTGTAGCAGCTCCTGCGACACCAAATGGCAAGCCAGTAATGCCTGGGTCTGAATCAGCGTCAGCTTTTTATCACCCTCACAGACAGCAGCAAATGCAGCCCATGATTGAACGTCAACCCTCATTGGAATCACAATATTCCTCCATGCAACAGCAGTTTGTGCCCAGCCAAAGTCACCAGATTGAAGACATAGTTACAGTGAGTACTACTAATGTAAAGGAACCAAACTCAGAAACACTTTCTTTAGGAAAGCGGACCACTATCGAGGCAATAGCCTGGGCACAACCTTTTGAAGGGAACACTTTTGCAAAGGGAGCTGTGTCGGCTATTTTAAGGGAAAGGGCAAAGAGTAAAGTAACGGCTCTTAACGAAAATGGCTCTCCGGAGGATTCACCGGAAAAGTGTAAAGGAGATGTAGATTTAATTGATTCCTTAGCTGGGGAGGGAACAAAGTCACCAGTAAATAAAACCGAGGAAAATACAAGAGAGCAGTCTCTTGCTCCATTAGACGATTGTCAAAAGTTGCTTCCAGCGGAAAACTTGTCAGTAGAAGAAGAATCGCAGCCTCTCCCATCAGTGGAGGAGCAGACTCCGCCAAATGAGGAGTCAAGCGTTGTAAGTGGGTTTTTCAAGAAAATCCATTCCTTCTTATTTTCTCCAACTTCACCGAAACGAAAGCGCTCGGAGGAATCAGAATCTTCCTGCTGTGAAAGCGATTTTGATTCGGAGTTTAGTGAAATGACTCAGGGATCTTTCAACCCGGGGGACATTGAAGCAATTCGCGATGAGCTTGAGCAGTTATTAAGCGGTTCACCGAATCAGGGTTTGGAAAATAGGGACGGGTTTTCCCATGGTGAAGGCCGCAGCTCTCAGCGAGGTAGTCCTCTCCCCTTAACCCAAGAAGAATTAACTATTGATTCAAAAAGTCAGCAGGGAGATAAAGATGCCGTAGAAAGGGGAAAAGTAGAGGCTCTTGAAGGGCTGGAAAGAACCATGACATATAAAAAGCTTCTGGAGAGCAGTGAAACTGAACAGGGTGGTAATGAAATAATAAATTTCAAAGTTGAAGATGATGCGAGTGATATGCAGGAAACAGAGCGGAAAAATTTGGTTAAATCTAGCATGAATATTAATTTAGAGCAAAAAGATACATCTTTCTGCAAGGATGTGGATTATATTGATCGGGAAATTAGTAGAGTCACAGATGATAAAGAACTAGAAGGAATTTACAAAACAAATAGTGTTCTTAAGGTTCAGAAGGAAACAACTGTGTAGAATTGGATGAAGCCTTCGTGGTCTAGTGAGCTCTGAGTGATGAAAAGAACCTGACATTCTTCTCAGGAAAAAATTGATCAGAAAACTGGTCGGATTGATGCTATTGCTAAATCAATATTATCAAGTGATTGTTAACTATGTTAATAAACGATAATAACAGCTAAAACCAAAATCAGCTTTAGAAATCATAGTTGCAATGTAAAAAACATGCCGAAGAATAACTGAACAATATTGACACTGTTCGTTTGTATAAGACTCAAAGTAGTGGTTATAACCGGATTCGAAAATGAAAATAGACAGGTAGAGACGTGTTAATTAGCCATATTACAAAATCAATGGCCTCAAACTTAATTTATCTTTATTGTCTCTTTTATTTCCGTTAACACAACTGTGCCAGAAAGTGTAATTCTTTATTACATAAAAGTGTAGTAGTAGGGTTAACCGTTATAATGATAAACCTGTAACTTAAAGTATTTACCTCACTGTTGTAAACATACAGTAGTTTATTCTATTTAGCCTCGTAAAGAATTGGAGTGAGTGCTAGAGCGTCAGTTAAAGTAATTAATGATAAGGTGGCAATCCTAAGCGAGACAATACTATCTTCGTTCTATTGTTTCTTCAAATAATGTGCAAAGAGGTCAATTTGGCCTACTCTGTATAACAAGCTGGCAATATGTAATCAGCAGGAAGATTTGAGGGTTATCTCAGACGGTTTTTCATATCTCTCATAAGTGTAATGTCATCTTCCACTACAGTTTTGATTTAGAATTTGTTTCAAACCGTGCAGACGAAGTGAATGAAACGAAAGAATTATTGAGTGAATTGTAGATGAAATGTGTTATCCTTGAAAAAATTGAATAACTGGTAAAAAATAAATTAAATGAATGAGTATCTTCTCATCTTAAAATGGTGATAATTTTCGTTCAGAAGCCCAGAGAAACCTTTAATGCGCTATGAGGCCAATGTAAGATAAAGTTTTCAAATGGAAAAAGAAATCTATGAAGATATCCCACATCACAGTCTGGTGTAAACAGCATCAAACAATGTATTTATAAGTAACTCTTACAAAACTTAAAGAAATGATAAACATTGATATTACAATCTTTCTTAGTAATTCATTTAATTCTATTTCTTCATTTAAGATTTTTACAAAGAGTATCGAGTTCAATTCATTACAAGAAAATGTGAAATGCATTCAACTGATGACCTCTGTTTAGTTTCCGAAGTTTGTGAACATATCAAAGGTTTTTGATGCGGGATTCTCTAATTAGTTCAACGTAAAATTGAAACGAGGTTGTCGTTATGATCATGAGAGACACTTCAGATGTTGTTACGTTAGAGGAAATTTAACAGAGGTCATCTCAATAGAATGCCACTGTAAGTGCCATCCTTTCCGAAAAGGTAGCTCAATAAAATAATCACAATGAACTGTTATAAGGATGGGAACAAACGAGTACTGATAATGACCCAGTGTATACCTCTGTTATGGCAATGGTTTAGACTTGTATCATTCAAAACTTCTTTTTGTGGTTGAATCGGCTAACTCTGATGTCTCTTTCAGGACTACATTCCTATTGAAATCCCGAAACTCAATGGAAGTTTCGGGCTAAATGTTACGGTAAGATAATTTTGTTGAAATTCATTGCACCTTGCAGCGTCCTTAGAGATTTTTTTCCACGTTCCTTGCCATCTCCAAACTCCTTAGCTCTTTTTTTTTAAATTGTTCAAGAATTCTTTCCTTTCAATGATTTGGACGTCGCAAGTCAACGATCTCTACTAAGAAAGTCATACTAACTATACTATCTTTCCCAGTTAGGCTAAGAGAGAACACAATTTTCCTATTTTGAACATAGCCTTTCGGGATAAATTAGTTTCAATGGGTCATGATTAAGAGCTCTTTTCATACTCTTGTCCAAATCATGCAGAGTATTAACTGTGTCGGTAACTATTAAGTAACACCTGATGTACTACTTATCTCGACTGACACATTGTAGAGATATGAAATATAGGCTGTTGTGAACTATGCGTTGATTCTAATTAATTCTGAAAGAGACCCTAGAAATTTGACCGTTTAAATTAAAGAAAGGAAATAGTAACCTTTAATACAAATGTTTTACATACTTTGGTTGCTCTCGATATATGCCTGAGTTTTTAGTCCATTTTTCTCATTTGAACAATCCTGAAAGGAAAAATAACAAACAGGGTTAAATGATTTAAAATGTGGTCTACAAGCATGCTTATCGGACGTAAATCTGCCAGTCAATTTGTAGATAAAAGAAGCTATTTTTCGTTTGATGTCGCGGAATCAGCCGTTTCGTGGTGGTAATTCCATAAAGAATCCTTTGTCTACCTGAAGCGCTTTCGTTGCATTTTAAATTCGTTCTAGCTCTTTCCGGTGTATTAATTCGTGAAGTGAAGCACAGGTGTATTGACATCGCATCTAAGCTGTAAATAATTCAGTTAAATCTGTTTTGAACTTAATAACAACGACGAAAACTTTAAATTAGATTTTCTGAATCCACGCCATCACGTAGAACTCAAGTTTCTTTACAGCAGCTGCAATTCAGCAGAAGGAAATTGTCCCACGTGATGATCGAACAAAAACAATGAAAGATTCCCAAAAAACGGAGAAATGTATCATCCCGGAATGTAGAATCGATTTTCCTTTGCAATATTTTAATAGATACGTGTTTTTATAAGAAAAAGTAATTTGGCCATGCCGGAGTTTCTTAGTTATCAGCGGGGACCCAGTGAGGTCTCTTTATTACAATTCGTTTAAGAATCGTATAAATCATTCATAAGTCGAAACGTAATAACAAAAATGTCTTTCGGCTTCGTCTATAGCAATGTTTTCAAAACTATGAAAGACTCGGTTTACTAACAGTGGCGTTTCCTTTCAAAACCTCACCAAACTTTTCTCCTCACACACGGAATTCCCGTCCTTCTCAACCATGTTTTCTGGTATGTTTTGACTTGTGATTGTCGAAATAGGTCTAAACTTCGATCTTTTCCCATTTTATTTTGAACAATGGTGACCTTATAGTAAACGAAGAAATTTTTGGATTTCTTATGCTTACTTTATCTTATTTTTCACCCTAGGGTGGGCCAGAACTCGATGGAATTTATGTGAAGTCCCTATTGCCTGGCGGAGCCGCAGAAGCTTCAGGGAAAATAAGAAATGGTACGTAACTGATCTGTTATGACTTATTTGATCAGCGACCGAGAAAAGAAACTTTTTTCATATCACAACATCGGTTACAGAATAGCACTCTAATTAAAAGTGGAAGTCGGGTACAACTGCCTTCAATATGAATGACAAAAAAAAAAATTTGACAAACCTTTAAGTTTTGTGCCATCCTTTTGAAAAGAAGATCGCTCGTGTCCGTGTTGTTGCGCCGCCAATCCAGGGTGTTATTTTACGTTTCTATTTCGTTGATAAAGCTACGTTTTATTACTTAGTTTCAAGCAATGGAAAATAAATTCATGGATGCTTGCTTATCTTGTGCTCTAATGAATTTGATTGGATGCCCTTTGAATGGAAAGGAATTGCTTTATTTATTCAAACATCCTTCTTTTTTGGGAAGTGACCAATAGCATTCTTTCTTTGCTGTATTCTGCGTCCATTGATTGGACGCGATTATTCTAAGACTAAACGTATCAAGTAATATGTTGATGTATTCTTACAAACGTACCTCAAATATTTTGGTTATTTCACCATTCTGATTTGGTGGGCAGAATTGTTTAAATGCAAAACTATAGAACTTTAGCGTCAAATGTCTGCCTTAATTTCCATGATCTTATATAAAGAAATAGTGCGTATCATCCTAAGAGAATTACGGTGTAAGATATCGATTTTGACTGTATTTGACTCCTACTGTATAACACTGATTGATTGGCAGCCTAATGCCGAGAAGGATTTGTTTTAACCTTGAATTTCCGAGTGTAATTCATGTATAATGTAATCTAACGCGATGGATGGTCACAGAAATTGCCCCACAGTGGTATCAAATAGCCAATGATGTAGAGAATTTTCCTAAGATGTAGAAAATCCTCGTAAAACTTAAATTAGAGAACTTAAATGAGCGAATAAATCTTGAAATCAATAGTATTAATTTGTGAAATGTGAAATTATTTATTACATAAATACGATCTCGTAAAGGTGTATCATCTTTTATTCGTAAGGTGACAGAATAGTGGAGATAAATGGTGTGGCAATGGATGGTCTCAATCGTAAACAGGTAATTATTTGAGACTCTCCGTCGATCCATCTGTAAAGTTCATTGACGAAAATGATTTCTTTGGGTAAAGAAACTAACCGGCCTGCCACCTGACGGCGTCACCTCGAATAACATCGAAGTATCCAGTGGTGATGAAAATCTTGTGGGAAAAATTTCACACTCTTTTTTAGAATATTAAGATAAGTATTTGGCTAGAATTCGACAGAAAAAAAATTTTGACCTGGCGTCATTGTTCAATAATTATCAGTGTCAGACGAAATAGCGCCATAAAGTCTGTCTGCTTAAGCAAAATGGCCTGTTTTCATTTATGCATGTTGTTGAAGAACCCTTTTCATGTTATTACGATTTCCGTTATTTAATCACAATGTTTTTTTTGTGTTCCTTCGTATTTCACTCAGCAAAACAGTTACAGTCACTTTTCTTTTTTATTGGCGTTAATAATTTGGGACGGCTACAAAACCTCAGCAGGCAAATCGTATCATAATGACATTTTTTCCATTTTAACTTTCATACGGTTAATTGCAACAGGCTGTAGAGTTGTTGAGGCGGTCCGCTGCCACAGCGACACTGGTCATAGAGCGCTTCAGAAACCCTGAGCCTGCAGGACCGCAGGTAGAGGACTTGGAGGATCTCTTGAGAACTTCGGTATGATTGCTATCGCTATTACTTAAATCTTTAGATTTCTTGGACATGAATGGTTGAGGATAAGACAACGTCTTGGAAAATAGGATATCTGTAAATGATTATTATTTATCGAATAGAATTTACTCTACAAAGTAACTAAGTCGCCTGAAAATTTTGATAGAAACACTATAATTCTATATTTTTGTTCTTTTTTTTTTCATCTTCAGCCAAATTGCATGCTAGTGGAACTACAGAAAATCAACCATTCATTTGGATTTAGCGTTGTGGTAAGGCAGTGGATTTTGTTCATATTATATGCTACTTGATAGTTGAGTTTTATCAAGAGTTCCTGTTGATTTGGTAATGCTGAGTCTGACCATCTGTTACGATGGTTAAGGTACATAAGATTTGTTGTTGTTGTTATTGCCGTTGTGGCAAACCACTTCCCAGAAGTTCTTGGTACAAATTGCATCTTTTCTCAAATTCTTAACAAAGACTGGGTATTTTTTGGAAGAGAAAAGGAGAATGGAGAAATAAACATAATTTGCCGTTATTGTGTCATCATTTTATTCGCCAGTTGTAATTGATCTAACTGAAGGCTCTAAGTTTTTACTTTATATTATAAAGGCTTAAATATGAAAACGATCTTCGCAGTAGTGAACACTACTTAAGCAATAGCGAAAATAACGATTGATAAAAACTCAGGCCTGTATGGGATTTGAACCCATGAGCTCTGCGGTACAGTGCTCTACCGACTGAGCTTACAGGCCAACTGGGAGCGGGTCCATTATGTTGGATCGAAAAAAAATCAGTGAAGTGATGATTAGTTGACTGTGCGTATATGAAAATCATGTATGTGAATTGGGGAATAAGAACTAGATATGAGAGCGATCTTCGCAGTAGTGAAGGATCACTACTTAATAATAATAATAACTTTATCACAGTATTTCCACTGAAAGGCGGCTCTTAATCTGTAAAAATTTACATTATATTAAAAAGTAAAAATAATAGAAAAAAAGCTAGAATAAATATAAATCAAGAAATCAAATGTGCATTTGCCCTGTTTATAAGATACTTCCTCACTTTAGTTTAAAACCACTAAAAACTACAGAGTTCCTTACAGCAGATGGTAACGAATTCAAAACATTAGAGGCGCTGTACTGGAAAGTTCCCGACTTCGAAAGTGCCCGATCTTAGCACGACACATCTTTAGTAACGTCGTTTCTTTCGAAGATCTCAGTGTTCGTGTGTGAAGGATTATGATGTCTAGCTTAAGATAGAACAGCCAGTCATAATAATGCAAGGCTTGAAAAGCGGTGTTAAGTAATTAATACTTTCTGCGTTCCTTTATCAGCATCTATCCTAGTTTAATTAGATCCGACATATGCGCATAGTGGTAGCGAGGATCATTTTCATATCTATTTCTTATTCCGCAGTTCACATGCACGATTTTCATATATTTACCTTCATTTAATATGGAGACTGTAGGACATGAACCGAGGTGATATCATGCGTTCAATAATTTTTCTTGTCAACAGGGTGGGCCTGATTTCGGTGGAATTTTTGTGAAAACTATCAATCCAAATGGTGCGGCAGCAATGGATGGTAGGATAGGAATCAACGACAGAATAGTGGCTGTAAACTGTGTCAATTTAACGCGTGCTACAAGACAAGAGGTATGCAACCACTTGACATGTGCAGATTAACAATTTAAAGTTGGGGTACATTGTAAGACACATTGGAAAGATTTTACCGCAGTGAAAGCAAGATATTTTTTAAATCTTTGATGCTTACAGAACATTGAACCATACTTTCAGTCTCTCAAGCTATATTTAGAGTGAACACTTTGTGAATAAGGCAACATGCTCTTGATCAAAAGAGAATGAAAAGTTTGACCCACCAGGCCTTTTCTCCAAGGTTGCAAGAAGGATGTGAAAGGAGTTGCCGTTTAAATTTTCAAATTGATAGAGCTTCAAGTAACTCAACAAGCTGTATCTCTCTTAGGCGGTTGACGCCCTGCGAAACTCACCAATCATCGCTCAACTTGTAGTAGAAAAAGTCACTGCTGAAGATATCATGACAAACAGTAGCGGACCCCCCACCCCACAAGAATCAAGATACGGCGCAGTGCATTACAATCATTATCAAGCGAGCACCGACAGCTATAATGGTGAGAAAATCAAGAAATAATCTAACACTCAGGAATCATGGATCATGACTAGTTGTTTAAAAATCACTATCCTCGAGTTCTTTTTATTTTTTGACATGCGAAACTAACTTAAAACCCAAATTTTCCCGATTCTTCATGTTAAGTGACCTCTGTCTATGAAACATTTCTATTGTAGATTACAGTATGGACGATCTACCATTCGAAGTGTATCTAACAAAGGGACAAAGTGGACTGGGTATGAGTCTCACAGGGGGAGACAATGGAGGTATGTCACATGTACATGTATCTGGCAAAGTTTCTTTATTGTTACACACACTTTTGAACGCACGGCACCCAGCTTTATTTAAAATTTATCTGTTAAATTTTTTTGTCGGTAACTTAGAGTTACAGCCTGTCACACCCAATAAATTTCACACAGAACACTGCTTTACTAAAAAACAATCTTTAACAAACTCATAGGTAATACGCCTTTTTAAACTTCAGTTTGAGAAAAAAATATCTTTAATTCGCTGACCAATTTAGACAGCAATTATGTGTCCACGGCTTTTCCAATACGAATGAGTGACTTCTCTCGCTCTTAAGAATTTCTGAATAACTAACTTGTATTTTCAAAACAATTTATTTACAAAGCTCCAATCTATATTAAAAAGCTGGTTCCTGGAGGCTCAGCTCTCATGTGCGGACAGCTTCAAGTGAACGACATTATTCTCCAAATCAACAATAAAAATGTTGACCGGATGACATACAGAGTAAGTTGATAGTTCATTTACAAAACATAAGTGTTTAGTCAAAGCAAACAGCCTCATGATGTACAGAAGAAAATGGTTTAGTTTGCGGAAGGTGTTAATGTCACTACTGGATCCGATGGAATTGTGGAAGCCAAGCCCAGCCCTGAAAACATTTGGAAGATCTCACCCTTCTTTCCAAAAATTTTCGATCCTAACATTTATGAGAGAAAGTGCCTTTATGACAGTGGTAATATCTTAGTGACTGTAATAATTTACGGGACAAAAGTTCCATCATACTTCTAGGCTGAGAACTCGTCAATTAATCTTAACTATATTGAAATTATAATTCATATTGATGTAAATAAACAAACATTTTCAGTTGTACTTAATTAATTCAAATTTATTTCTAAATCAGTTGATATCCCCTCTGACAAGAAGTGCTTGTTACCGCACTGTGCTCTATGTGAATTATTTCAGCTTGTTCCGAATTAATTATCTTTTGTTCGATCTGTTTTTGTAGGAAGCTCTTTCCATACTTCGGAATTGTCCCTCAGAGGTTCGCTTACTCGTACAGAGACCCCGGATGTCCTCTCATCCTCCTTACCCAGGATACCACGTGGGCAGTGACAGAGCAAGTGTTGACAGTTATGGAAGCTATAGTAGCATGTCAAGTATTTTTTAAACAAGTTCTGACTATGTTCATCAAGATAAGTTAAAGATTTTTAACCAGTTTATCAAGTTAAACAAGTTCTGCGAGTTTATCTCGTTCAGCGACTGTACATTGACCTTTTTGGAGTAGTGCTTTGTCATTGGTCAAAGGAATTTAACCTGTGGCAGATTGGCAAAGTAGTGGTAAAGAACTGAGACATATGAATTCAAGCCACAATCCAAGTTTTAGTTCAAGTTGCGGAGATGGATGAAATAGAAACGACTGCCTTTATAATGGAAAGTCGATGCAGATTAGCGAATTACATTGTTAAATTTGGTGGATTTAAACTAATAGCAGGCTCGTTTGGGCTTCAGACACAAGTCACCTGTACATTAAAAACCCCTAAGTTTGGAGACCGAGTTGTAAAGTTAGATGAAATGATGAAATTGTGTTTCGGGAATCATCTTTGCGAGGGCTGCGGGCCATATTGTCTTTCGTAACTGTTTTCTTTTTTTCTGTTTTGTTTAATTTTTTTCTTATAGAGAGCCCTGGCATTTTAGAAAGCTTGTTTTTCTGAGGGGGGTTATCGTAAAATTTATTGTTCAGGGACGCCTGTTACCTCTGTTTTCTTCTGATCAGGTGACCATCGCCTGAAAATTCTTACTGACTCCTATTACTCTCTTTAAGATGTAAATGTACTTCTTAATAAAGTAAGAGATGTGTTCAGCTTGTTAACAATAGAGTTGGAACATAAAAACTCTCCCTGAAAGACAACAACTACTAACTTACACAGCGACAGAGTGGAAGCAGGGTAATCACGTCTTATCAACCGTGTTGATAACGTAAACTGGCCACAGTAAAGAGTTTGAAAGCTGACTTTCGAGCGTTAGCCCTTCGTCAGAGCGATAGGCGAAGGGCTAACGCTCGAAACGTCAGCCTTTAAACTCTTTACTGTGGCCAGTTTACGTTAGCAAATCGGTTTATAATACTAAATTACCCTGTTATACTCTTCCACCGACGCAGCACCACGGTTTCCATAGAAAGTTACCCCCTTTACAGAGAGAAAGATTTGTTTTCGGCGTAAAGGTGAAGTTTATTTGACGCGCTTTGCTCTATCGACGCTCAAAAGTCAAAAGAAACTTTGCGGGCTAGTATAAATCCATCCAAGTTTTTCAACTTCATCGGCTTCTTTGGCAGAATCATCCTCTTTTTCGTTATCGTTACAATAAAATTCAAAGACTTTCATCATGATGTTCTTCGAGCCACAAAGGCTATCCTAAACATTCCGTGTCCTTTTGAAAATCGCGCTCTATTGAGCTATGGTCGCTCGAGCCTAGCAATCAACTATCTGCAACTTCATCAACATCCAAAGTTTTTCGACCCATAACGCATTTTTCAAACGTGCGTCAGACACAAGAGGTGATAAAATCACATATTTTCTGTTGTTGGAAAGAGAAGAATATTATTCTAGAAACATATATAATATGTCGTTTATGGAAATTCACAACATTATTAATGGAAATTACATTTTTATTAATGGAAATTACATTTTTATTCCGGTCACCTCCCCACTTAATGTCCGCATTGACTCTGGAGTGACTGCAAACAATTCAAGAATCAATATTCTAAACTCAAGCTTTACATGTACTAACTTTGTAAACTTTTCCCTATTTCTGCTTTAATTGTTTTAAAACCATTACAATTATTGGCTTTTATTCATTTTTAGAGTCCATATGACCTGATTATTAGACATTAGCATACTAGCAGCACATTGTTAAACATTTTCATATCCATTGGCTATTGGCAAGGAACGTTCCCTACGCACTAAACCAATCAGGCGCTAGTTACGTTTACGAGAAATGCCTCGTATTACTGATTACTGACGGCTCTGAGCCGCTTGAAATTACCGCCGTCCAAATTGGTGGCAAAAGTCGGCGAATTTGTTTTGTAACCAAAAGCACCATTCAAAATTTCATTCTTATATTTCATTATTATTTGCTACGATATCAATAGAGAAAAATATCTATATTTCAAAAAGTTTAGCGATTATAAAATATTAAAAAACTAGGTAATTGTCGCTCCTTACAAAATTCATTAACAAGGGAAAACCAGAAAGAAAATGATGTCTGACAAATAAGGCTCTTCTTTCTTTACAGATAGATGTCAAAGATGCTAAGCGGGAACATTCTTGCCCTTTATATAAAGAAAATTGTAAACTCAAGTGTGATTGGAACCCAACTAGTCTATAGTTTTGGTCTCAAGAATGTAATTCTTGGCAGCTTCAATCATCTCTCTTCACTTAAAACTGACAAGGGAATTAAAACTATCTATTATTGGTATGACTTCCTTCGCCATACTTCATGGGTTGATTTCTTCGACAAAATCTTTTGGAAACATTCCCCTTTTTCCTTGTACTTCTCCACACCACCAAGTGTCATCCTCGTGGTAAATTAGTTTTATATGATCTCCAGCCTTGAATGATATTTCCTGGTCTCCCTGTGCGTCATAATCAAAAGCCGCACGGTAAAATTTGGCCTCGTTCAGTTTGATTGGTTGTTTCTTTTGGTCCACACTGGAATACATCGATTCATCTAGAGATTCTAAAGAACAAGTAATCAAAGATATTTTTCATTTGTTTATTATGAGAGTACTGTTGGAAACGAAGAGACACTCTCCTTTGGAAGTATCATCCGTTTACCAAAATTTCCTCTACCTCCCTCTTTGAACCCCTTTTGAGCACAACATGCCAAATCTAAGTTAGCCTTTTGACATTTGCACATCTTATCACTTCAACATTGCAAATAATCTTGAAACATCAATTGGCCACAATTTTTGATTTTGGCTTTCGCATGTCACCAAGAATTATCAAGGCCCCTATGTGTGCTATCTCCACGCCGTTGAAAATTGTCGCCAGCATTCTCGACCTCAGACAAGCATTTTTAAATAATGTTCTTGCCCACAAAACTGTAACAATATCCCGAAAACTTGAAGCTAAACCAAACCTCCTTAAGCCACAATCGCAACCCCCATTATTTTATTTCTTATTCTAAATGATAGATTGATCTACGAATTATTGCACGATAACTTCAGTTGACTGCTCCCTGGCTTCAAGCACACAGAATTAAGACTTTCCCATACGAAGGGAAAGAGGTCTGTAGTTAACAACTCACAACTCAACGAATAAACTTTGTAATATCACAGATAAATTCGTAGGTGGGACCAGCACGAAGGGACTTCTTAGAGGAAGAAGCCTTCACTGTACATTAAAAAAGGGAGAAACCATTGGAATCCCGAGAGATTTACGTGAACAATGTATTGAATATCTCACCTTGATGAGGAATATCAGGGAGTTGCATAGGAGGACGGCGGTTCACTGATTTCGGAGTACCCACGGACGGCTGCACAATATTGGTGTCTTTCGAATGCACGAAGGTACCTGCTACAGGCCCAGTTATGTTTACATTGCTACTGGGGGACACAACTTTTGCCGATGACTGCGCCATATAATAGTTCTCATATTCTATACGCACTAAAGACAAAAATAAAAACACATCTCTTTATCGATTAGAGGAGAGATAATCCGTAAAATAAACATCTTTGGCCACTACATGTCTTCACAGACAAGCCGAACAGCCCAGTTCGAGGAAAAAATCATTGTTTTTGGCAAAAACCTTGGGTGTACAGGTTATCATATTACCGCAGGTTAAAAGAGGAAAATTCTTACTCAAAACTGAAAATCATACGTTAAAAGTTACTGGGCAATAGAAGGTCACCAAGAACGAATATTTCTCCCATTGATAGAAGCGTAAATTTCGGATCACGAACGAAGGCTGTGCTGTGGGCTATTTCAGTAACTGGGGAGTCCCTTATTATAACTGAGAACAAAAAACAAATAAAGAAGCAGCTTTTTTCCTTCAGTTTGTAAGACGGCATTTAACCGGCTTCACCTCGAAACATGTCGTTGATATCTCTGGAGAGGCAGAACCCTCACGTCGTTATTATTGACAGTGGCTGGAAGTAGTTTAAAATTACCTGGTCTATCAGATCCCGTTTTCTTCATACTAACAAAAAGATGAATGTCGGATTCTACTGCACAGTTCTCCAGACTTTTCCGCATTTCTTCGCAAGTCTAAAAGTGTACGAAACGTTCACAACATCGATGTGCATGCGCAGACTTCGCAAATAACTGCTTACGGCTAAAGACACCGAAAGATAGTGAAAAACAAACGGGGATAAGTTACGTTTAGCCTACGTAGCTGGTCCTATTGTGGGAGTTTAGAGCGGGAAAGCTGCTCCTAAGAGACAACGCGACGAGAAAAATGAAAATTTCAAACGCAAGCCGCCGCCTTCATCTGCATTGAACACCCTCAAACCACCAGCTACACAAATTAAGTTCCTCTGGCAGAATTTTGGACTAAAGAGAACTCGATAATTTTCGGTATCCTTAACTTTCATAGAGGCATTTTTACTGTAGTTGATATCTGTTCTCTAAGAACCCCCTTAATCTGAATGACTGAATTACTTTAAATGATTTGTTTTCTCTTGACCAGCCTAGGTGGTTGGTTGGTTCATGATTGCTTGTTGTCTTGCTGATTAATGGATAGGCATGTGAACTGATTGGTTTAACGACTACAGGAACAGAAGGGAGTCAAAGGGATACGGTTGCGTCCACTAAAATGTACCTGATCCCCCCTAAGAATCTGTAGTATCATAATAATCCCACCTCATTGACAGTCAATTTTTTTACAGCCTCCACCCCTCTTTTATACTCTGTCAGCGACGACTAGCCCCCCCGCCTCCATTCCCCTTAAAAGAATTTCCCACACCCCCCCCTCTGCGATAAATGAAGACTTCTCGATTGATCGACAAACTGATTGACTACTCGATTGATTGAGAGATTGACTGACATATCATGGGTGTTTGCTCACCTCGTCCACCTTGACACAGTTCATTGAACTTGTGTTGGCATAGGCCCACATTGCGTTACGCAAAAACGATATTCTCTCTTCTTCCAGGGTTTGAAAAAGCTGTTGGAAAATTAAAAAAATGCATGTTTAGTAAATAACTAAATCGAAAATTGTATCCTGTCAGTATGAATAGTTACAGGTACATCATTTTACAGTACTCACAGATTCGAACTAATCAAGTGCTCTTAACTTAACTTTTAGACCACTTTTCAACTGAGTGTTGAACTTGATCTAGCATTCCATGTTTTTCGCTCTACTTCCCCATGGGATTGGTTTAGACAACTCACCCCATCCTTTGAACCATCCAGAAGCGAAACTTGAACCAACCAGAGACATTTGTGTTTTCCCGTACTTCGAGAGGTTTGCTTGTTTCCATTTTGAGTTTTAATATCTCATTGTGATGTTAGCTCCCGAAAAGTTGAACTTATTTTAACAGAATCACTGGCAGTGTACGAATATAACGACTATTACACATACATTACAGCACTGTTCCATTTCCTTCTCCCACATCACCCGTGCATCTTCAAGGCTTCGCACAGAGTTTTGGTAGGCAGTGTCTGCGTGTGATTAAAAAAATTTAAGTGAAAAACACAGTGGTAAGAGAACACCATTCTATTCGGTTTATTGAAAAACTCACTTGTGAGACAACGGCAATGAAATGATGTCAAGTAAATAAATAAGTGAATGACAAAAATAAATACAAATGAATGACCAATCAACACAAAGGAAAAAAATTTAGACACCATTAATATACAGTTTATGGATAAGTCAAATTTTGAAAAACAATGATTCCTAATCAAACTAATCATTTTATCAGGCATTGATCAATCCACTTGTCTTCAACAAAGAATGTAAAAAAAGTCTGCATTGGAGCTACAGTACCGCTCGCGTATACGTTAATCGAAAAACGCGAATAAAACGCGCAAAAAATCGCATGCAATTGCGAATAAAAAAAATCGTGCGCGTCAAAAAATCGCACGTGCGCGCACGACTTTGAGACATCAGCCTTATTAGTTTGTATGAGGTAGCCCTTTTGTTTTTCTATTGTTGGCGGTTTATTATTTTAAATAATTGGCTTCAATTCAATAGCTCTAAAATATCACACGGCTACCAATGACAAGCAAACTTCTTGTTTGCAATTGCCACGCGAACCGACCTTCCCAATATGCATTACCAATGCGACTTCGTAATCGGAATATATAAATGATTTACCATTTTCCAACGGAATTCATTTATCAAAATAGCTATTTCCCGCTTCGTATATAGAAACATCCGTCGCAACGGCTTGGGAATTTGTTCAAAATAAACTTATTCTCAGTGTGTTGTAATTCGGTAGAATCAGCTAAGGCGCTTGTTTGTAACCAGTTGTCGAGTCCGATGAGGAACCGAATTCGCTTTTTGTTTCGATATTTGTCGAATCATCGATCAATGTTCACCAAATTGCTCGTAAGTAGCCCATCCAGCTAAAGCTTATCCTGGTTTCTGTGGTATGAAGTTTTCCTGTACCCACTTATATTCCTAGGCAGAGATACATGTATAGGCAATGTGTGAGTAGAGTCAGTCTTCTGCAAGAACTCATCAAAACGACCTGACTATGTCTCGAATCTGGATCTCTCGAACCAGAGTACAGTGCATTAACTGCTATGCTACCATATCTTTTCCTGTCTTTGATTGAAGATAAGCTAAAAATAAGTATTCAGTGTAAGTTCAGGTATTCAAGGGCTCCACTGTACCTGCTTGTTCTACGGCAGTTTTTGCTCGCCCAAGCTTGACCCTCAACTGTAAAAGAAAAAATGAAGAATAACTAAATAGATGCCAATTAAGCACCACACTTATCATTCACTTAGCTACCATAAATATAAATTAAAGCACATTAAAGTTGTATAAGGTGAAACTCTAATCATTGATTGAATTTCAAAGAATCAAAGCAAGCTACGCCTGGTAAACAAATAACTTGTCACCAAAGAAATAAACCATGTCACAATAATGTTATGTCACAAAGAACTCTTGAAAAGTACATACTGTATGTTTTCACTTTTGTAGGTTATTTCAATCATTTTCTGGCATTGTGAGGGTATAAAGAACTTGTATATACATAATATACTCCCAATACTTAGTATTATGCATCATTTTTGATAGCTAATTTCCCAAAAAGCTCTATAAAGATCCTAAATGTGCAAAATAAATATGTAATATCACAGAAAATCAATTTTATGTAAAACTAACCTTTTCCTCATCTTTGCTGGCAAGTGATACAGATCTTTGTAGAGCTTCCTCTGCAAGGCCTACATCATGGCATTTCTGCTCATAGGTCTTCTTTAGCTACACATTAGAAAATAAAAAATTCATCTTTAATACAGACACCAACAAGAGGGACCTGGAAACAAAAACATGTAGATGTCTTTAACATCAATAAAATGTACCAGCGCATGCATTTATACAAGAAATGTCTACTGTTCACACCAAATCTCATGATGGCATTCTTCTGCATATGAAATGACTTTCAAGCTACCTACTGATAGAGGTTGCATGGCAGATGAGGGGATATATAAAATGAAGGCTCCATGCATTTGCACACTTACTCTACTAGTCAAATCAAAACAGTTTTTCTTATTCCGTTGAGCTCTCTTCACTGATTCTTCCACCTTCATAAAACAAAAACAAGTAGAGTTCAGACTTAATACTATATGTTTCTTTATTGAAAGTTTTACAGTATCCTGTAATGAAAATAAAATCTTTGCAAAGACTTGCAAAGACTTGCAAAGACTTGCAAGTGACCAGAATGTGGCATATTGTTACCTAGATTCAATGTATACCATGTACACCATGTACAGAATATGCATATGTATTTATAGGTAAAGGCCCAGAATCTAAGATAGGCTTTTTCGTACTTCAACAGTACCTAGCCCCATTGAATAACAATCAAACCACTTTGAAAGAGTTTTTGATGAAGAAGTAGGGTCTAAAAGGAACAAGGGGTGAGTTTTAGAGCAGGGCTTCTTGGATACTTGAACCTCTAGACAGGGCTCTCAATGGAGAACACCAGGGGGGTTATTAAAGAATTACAAGTTAATAACAACACGAAGAGACCACAGTAAGATACCCTTATGTGAGGGATCACAGATTACAAGTAGACTGCATTCAAATTTGGTTGAAACTTCTAGACCTTATTTACTCTTCAATGACTTTAGCATAGCATATATCAAAGATTACTTGTCTTTTTGAGATGCTGAACACCTCCAAGTCAAAATTACTCTTGGAATGAGTGCAAATATAAGAGATAAATTGTTATCCAAGTTTTTGCAGTAAGATATTTGCCTTTTCTCAATCATAGTACATATTCAATCAATCCAAGCTTTCGAAATAGATGTTCCTCAAATGATTGGGTAGAGCAGATTGGTATAGTCTTCCTCTTCAAAGTGGTTTATTGTTTTCAACTAATCTATTTAAAATTGTTAGTTTCTCAAAAAGAGTCCCCCAATCAGTTATCTGTTTCTGTTCATTTCATTCAAACTCTGTCTGACATTACTTCCCAAACATTTTCTCGCATTTGCCTTCCACTCTTGTTTCATTTATTTGATGAACTTTTCCCAATATTTCTCAACCTACTTACTTGTATTCTCTTTCTGTAAGCATGATAATGTGTATCATTCTGCAGGTTTTAGCTAGCTTAAAATACATGCAATAGTCCATTTTACAGTTGTGTGCTTGGTTGCCAAGCCTTTGTACAGGAATGAGGCTAAGGGCGACCTTGTTATGATACAAACCTTGCTGCTTTTCAAATGCAAATTACTTTGTTATCATGCAAACTAGATACTGGTCTCTATCACAACAAGGTCACCTTCAGCCTCACTCCAAATCAAAGGCTTGGCAACTAAGTACACAACTGTAAAATGGCCTATTGTAAAAGTCAATTTGCTCATGAATTCTACAGGTCAGAAGCTCCCTGTAGAGCAATTTTCAGGTGAAGATTGAATCCCTCACTACTTTAATTTGCTTTATTTTGCTGTGATATTGATAAAAAAAATATAAAACCATTTCCTCAACCAATTTTATATTCCAAAGGACAGAACCCCTCAAAAGTGAGCTGACAGTCTCTTAACCCTCCATCATCGACTCTCAATTCTTGATACTTGGTTCAGTGAAACCTTGGCCACTTAGATTTTCCCATGTCATAAGAGTTTTTCATGTTCAAACTGAGGGTTCTAATTGGCTCCTTGATATATAATCCTAGGTTCTGATTGGCTGTCATGATCTTATTTGCTTTGAATATTTGCAACCCTCAATCTAAAATCTCTCAGTTATTTCAGTCATAGGATGTCACCTTTTTCCTTTTATCCCGCTGCATTTCTCTAAATTTCCTGACACAGCTTTCCAGTTCTTCAATCAGTTGTTTGGATAGAGCTAAATGCAGTTTACCAATGTTCTCTGTCTCTGTGGGACAAAACAAATATTGAAGTTAAGATGATGACTTGCACCAAAATGCTTTGTGAGCTTCATTTCTATGCTCAGTCCTCGCAGCTGCTGGCTACCATTAGCAGGTAGATAGCTTTTTAGAGTAGTTCTGTTATCTTCTTCAGTATCTTATTTCCTAAACAACTAACTTGAAAAGGCAATAGTTTGACAGACTTCCAATTGCAATAGCTCAAGTGCGCTAAACAATCAGATATTAAATATTTACACTGTGTTAGTTGTACCTGTTTTGACTACCTCCCAAGATTCTCTGAGGGTCCTGAAAAATACCAATTTGCCTTTACTTCATTTGATGTTTAGCTATAATAAAACTTAACATGTTCTTTAGGGTGCAAAGTAAACATGGTCTATTGCAACGGGTACTAGGACAGTTTGCTTGTATAGTGAACTTTTCACTGGGACTTTTATTTTATTTTACTTTTTTTTAAAATTTATACACTGATGCAAAACAAAGTGAATGTTGGATCATTATATATGGATCTGAAAAGAGGTGATAAAACTGGAGGGATCACTTCCTCTTATTAAAATCACATCTGCCTAGACAACAACAAACCTAAACAAAGTTTAAATGTTTTTATCATCTGTTGACAGTTGCACCTGTTTGCTTTGCAGAATTAAGCTCAAGTGCTCTCAGTCATTTGGTTCTGTAGCCATAAGTAAGGTGGTGGTTTATGAATTTCCTGTCATAAATTCTTCCTGATTAACATTTTAAGTAGTAAGTGGGTAAACCTATGCCCATTAAATATTTCATCCTTACCCAATTTCATCTCTGCCTTTAGCACTTTCAGAAAGTTTCATCAAAGCTTTGCCATACTTCTCCTCAGCATCTGCCCTGAAATATAAATATTTTTTTTTGCTAGTGTTGTGTACCTCATATCTACAAAATGCAGACTTACTGTCAACCAATTTAGCCCCTGAATTAATTTCAATACAAGCAAGCAATAAAAACAAATAGAACAGATTGCAGTTGTAGTTAGAAACCTACAAGCTTCTTGTCAGCAAAGTGTATGTCTTATCAAAATCACAAAACACACAAATTTACAAATTACATGCTCATTGTTTATATTTCTTAGTTCTGTGGAGTTACAGTGAGGGATGTGGTCATTATGGTCATGTTTAGTGCTTTGTACACTACCTTTGTCTTATAAAATCTTCAAAATCCAGGCACATTTGTTTTCCATCCTTGAGGCGTTTGCACAAAGCATCAAAACCAGCAGTGCTGTTAAAATCAGTTCCCTGTGAGAGTCAGAAATGGACAGATGCAATTTAGATAATGGGAGAAATAAATGATTGTAAACATCAGTCTGATAGTTTGTAACTTTGAATTTTTAATATAAAGTATCCTCCTTTTAGAGAAAGAGGTTTCTGACATCCCCAGAAATAAATCCCACCCTTTCTATAAGGCCAAACTATTGCTTTTGACAACAAAGAACAGTTAGCATTTGTATGACTCACATTTTAGAGTGCTGGACTGTCACGCAGGAGGTTAAGGGTTCAAGCCTTTTTGCAAATAGTAAAGAATATAGCTCACAGAATTCTTATGTTTATACATGAACCCATTAAAACCAGCTTTAAGCTAGACTGGGCATTACCTTGTCTCAATATTGAAAATACAATATAACACAACAGTTTGCCTTTTAGACCCGTTTTCAGGATTTAAGTTGTTGACCATTTTTTAAGGTTTTTGAGATATCCTTCATATGTGATTGATGGTTATTATGGGCATTATACTTGTAAACAAAGGACTTTTGGTTCAGTTTTCAGTTAATTCTTCTCAAGCAGAAAAATTTGAAATTAATGCTTAAATTACAAGACTAATAAGATACATGAAAAAATTATTAAGTTCCAATTGGTTATGATAAATGCAGTTTTCAGGTAATTCAATGCAGAAGAGGGTTATTTCAGTGCAAAGAAGTAACAAACCAGACTGAACAATTTCTAGAACTGTTCAGCCCTACTTTGAACTTTCTTGTGCCTTAGAGATGTGAAAATATCATTGTGTACCATTGTTTTGATCGTATGTGGTTGTTTTGACCGAATGCACGACGGCACTTGTAGGGTTTGAATAAATCATTTTTGCACTCGATGTGTGTGCTTTGCTTCTGCCTAATAATGATAAGCTATCTCATCATATTATTAATACATAATCACATTATTTTTCTCATGCAATTTGAAATAAATAAGCGCATGTAAGTTTTTTCAAAGACCACAAATTGTACTCGCCCTACAGGCTCGTGTAATTTTGTTGGTTTTTATCATTTCAAATTGCACTCAAAATCATGTGATTACTTATACATATTTTTAAATAGATTATTTGAGGTGACTGTATGGAAGTTTTCATCAACCCATTTCAAGGAATCATGTTGATTTATCAAGTGCCAGTTTGTATGGAGTTTATTTTACTCTAGAGCAGAAGTCATTCTACAAGTATTCAACTGAGCATGTAGCAACAGATCGTTTCTGTGGAAATTCAGCTGCTTGGTTGATTAAAATGAGTAGCACTGGTAAATAATTTGCAAGACTGATGATCCCATGATACTCTCATATGCACAATGAACAAAATAATTTTTGTCCCCACATGCAAATTTCTGATAAATCATACTCTCATACTGCACAAAATCTCAGTTCCGCACTGTTTTTATAAGTAGACACCCCTCGCAATGAATATTTTGACACGAAAACAGCTAAGACTCATTTTTCCTTCCCAAAACTCTCCGAAAGTGGCTTAATATTATGCCACGTACCGGCACAGGTGTAACATAGTAAATATTATCACTATGAGAATATTTATGACAAAACAGTGATAAAACAAGAAATTATTGAAATTTCATTTCATTATTTCTACTATCAGAGTCAATCATTATCCGTTTTGTGAATCAAAGTGAATTTGTGGCCCGTGTATCGCCTCAATTAACGATCGAATTCCTTCAATCGGTACATAAACAAATTACAGACAGTTTCTATCAACAGCGAAGGCCTTCATCTGGTTTCATTGTAAACTGATTTCTATCGGAGCAGCAAACAAACAAACACAAATCTTCAATTAAGCTGAAGTAGAAGAATGCGAAAGCAAAACAATTGTATTAGCTCTTCTTCGCGATCATCAATGAAAAGCTTTTGGGCTCAAATTTGATTGCTGTTGTTTTCGATCTGCTAAATGTTTCAATTAATGGGAAATCGGAGAAATCTTAGGGTTCGATACAAAAGGCACATGTAGCCATATCTTCAAACAGATTCAAGTCGAAAGAGTTGACCTATCACGGCATTAAAACTGAAAGTATATTCAACATCGTTGTTTCCGCATAAGTAAGAGCGTTCATGTAAACTCAAAATACAACTTACCCAGAAGCAGTCTGTAAATTTAGTCATAGCGGAAGGAAAGCAAAGCGCCTAACTCAAATCTCTACCTTGGCGATGGCCAGATTCGCGGCCAGAACTACACAAACTCCGACGAAAAGTCAACTACCCACAGCGCGAGAGGAAGCTGATACTAAGTGAAAGTCCCGGATACGGAAACGTGACAGTGGAAAGATGATTATGACTTCCGGTCTTTCCTCCGAATCTTCCTTGCTTACGACCAAATAAAAACCAAGAGTAAAGCCGAGCGCTTGGTGACAACCTCGCAGGATTCACTTAACATTTTCCTTTCTTGCTGGTTTATTTATGCAGAAAAGTCAACGAGAAAAATTCAAGCCATTACGCAAAGGATGTGGTGGCTGCAGTGTGGCGTGACACCTTTTCTCTTAGTGACTGTTCATGATGATCTATTTCATTAGGACGGTTTGTTTCCCTTTTCAAATAATGAAAGCGAGGTCACAGTGGGAAATGAACCGTTCTCATGATGAATATGTAATCAGAACAAACAAATAAAAACGCAAATCCTCGATTAAACATGAATACATAAATCAATAAATTAATGAATAAATGTTGAAATAAACTGAAAAAAATGAATTAAAAATGAATAAATGAACAAATGAAAAAGTTAATAAAAAAATGGATATATTATTTATTTAATGAATGAGATGATCTTGAGATTAAATACCCATCTGAATTACTTATTCAGTGACTATTCGAGGAAACAGTTTAAGGCTTGGGCTGTAGGAACTAACACTGCAAGGTTATAAAGTTGACTTGTGCCTTGTCTTAGCTTTCCTCCCTACCATATGGAGATGTACCCCCACCCAGCCCCTCCATTTTACAACTTCAGCTTGATAAGAGGGGTCGTCTAGTAGATTAGGAAAAATCCTCAATTTTGTGTTTTCGAGGTTGAAGTCAAGGCGTCACGAAGTGCTTTGAAATATTCACTCTCAAGTAATATGAAAATTACTGTATATATTTTAAATGTTTCATTTGCCATTACTTGATAGAAAATAGCTGTCACACTGCGTACCTCACTGAAGGACTTACATAACTCCTCAGCTTATCTACGACACGTTAAATCGCAGCCATATTAGGTTTCAGTGTTATTTTAACCAGACAAGCAAGGTGACGGCAACTTTACCACTCAGAGGAAACAAACCTTTTTCTCAGCAAGATGCAAGTCGCAACTGTGTTGATTTTCTTGTCTTTGAGTTCAAGTATGGCACTACCAGGTAATGCTAAAACTTCTTTTAGGTCGTAAACTATTTTGCGAAGCGCAGATCTTTTTGCGACGTGTCGAGGCATCACTAGATGACCCGGGTGTCTCCTAACAGATTACACAAAATTTCATAGAACAATTTTACGATATATTTGTGATTCATGTCTTCGATTTTTGCAGTCCCAGTGGATAGAATTGTCCAAGAGAGAGACGAGCGAGAGGTGAGTTATCGCCGCTGCGGATTTTACCATAATCTTACCCTGTCTTGCTAACAAATAACGTTTAAATAGGAAAATTCTACAATCGGAGTTATGCCTCGAAGGAATTTCACTTCGAAATTAAATGTTCACGAAACAGAGCAAGCGTTTTGGTTAATTCATAGTCTTTATCATTGTAATAACTGTTATCTGTTAGGAAATGAATCATATTGATAGTGCTTTCCTCACGTCAACGGGAAAATGATATTTTCCTTAAATCCCTTGAGTGTGTCTGGGAGGATTTTCAGTTTGGCTTCTAATTAAGAAATTCTTTAAGAGAAATGTATTACATTTAGCTTAGTCAGTACAAAATCACGGCTTTTCTCATTTATGTCCTGAGCTTGCTAGAAGAGAGTAGCAAACTTTACAACTGTTTTCGGCAGATTCTGTTAGATTTTCTAAATGGTAAATAATTTGCGATCCGCGTCAATTAATTTGCACAAGCTTAAAATAACATTTACTGAACACTAAGGAACGTACTGAGTACAATCGTGACGGTCATATGTTTTTGTTTTACATAGGCTGTTGATAAGAGCTTTAAACTTTCCTGCGTCCAAGATCTAGAGAAGCCAACAAGTATCTTCTCCTTACAATATCAATATATTTTCTCGCAGAAAAGTGAGGAGAGGATCAAAATATCAATAGGGACATTACGTTTGATCCTGATAACACCAAATTATTGTAGCTAAACTATGAATTCACGTAGACAAAGGTGTAAGAAAGATATGACTGGAAACGTGGAGAACTTTTGATGAGTTCCTTTGAGAGAAATAGTATAATCTGCTTTTATTCGATACCTTTGCACAATGGGATTTGATTTCTCCTTTAATGTTCCTGTTAAGCTGAAACGGGGCCATTTCCTTCAACTATTGTCACTGAAACGGGGTCAATAGCTCATATGACATCATTGAACACAGCGAGTGATTAGCTTTCAATACCAATTTCAAACTGGCAGGAAACCAATGTATTCCTTTTCCTAAAGTACGCGACGGAAAAATTGTCAGCGGGTGAACGAGGCTGTCTGACTTCAGAGGCCTGGAAGTGACTAAAAGAAAAGTGAAGTAATTTCGTGCAAGATTCTAAGATTTAAAATTTGAGGTGAAATAGCCATTGACCCCCATATGATGTCTTACAGACACAATGGACATTAAGATCTTCAGCCTTAGTAACAGGTGTCAAAGAAAATAATTCACACAGGCAGAATACTCCTGTGCATACCTGATTTATAGCCAGCAGATCAGATGCTCGAAATTTTGTGTGACTACAAGCTACATTATTAGCATTTTTTACCTTTTTAAGTAACGAAAGCAATGCATCATTCTCAATCTTGTTGCAGATTTCCATCGATGAGCTGGAATCGCAGGTAATATTCTAATTAATTTTTGATATCATTAGCATGCATGACGCAATTAAACTACTTATGCTCAGTATTTGCGACCTGTCAATATGAGGCATTTTCCACTCGATTTACAGCTGGAGGAAATTGAAAATCATATCGGTGCAATGCGGACAAAGATGAAGGAGGAAGCTCAAAACGAAAATGTCGATCCCATCAAAGGTGGGTACACTCAGTTTAGTAAGGGGGGTGAGGAGGGGATTAGAAAGAACAATACCGCATCTACATTTGATTTCTAACTAATTTTTTATCTGAATCCCTCATGAAAGCGTTTAAATCTCGTTCCTTAAGGTCGACATGGGTTGGCATACAAAATAATCGATATTTTTTTCTCTCCAGAGGCTCATCCCACGCCACCCACGCCGCCCACGCCATCCAAGCCATCCACGCCACACGAGCCATCCACGCTATTCAAGTCATCCACGTCACCTACGCCACCCGAGCCATCCACGCCATCCACACCAAGGAAGCGTGAAACAGAAACAAAAATGCCAACGCCCCTGATGACAAAATCTGAGGCTTATAAAACTGAGACTGTGAAACCTTCCAGGCCGGTGAAATCTGAAGAAGAAGTAGAGCATCCAAGCAAAGAAGAAGTTACAGTAGCTTCTGTCAAGATTTCCGCCGAGGGGAAAAAAGTTTCTCCTGTTGGCGAAATAGAAAAGCTCGAGGAAGAAAACAGCAACAAGAAAGAAAAATTTGAAGTTGCCAAGAAAATTGAAATCAAAGCGGCAGCAAACGATGAGATGGAAAGGGAAGAGGCGGCTCTTGAGGGCGAAGACAGAGAAACGCCTGGGAAAGAATTTGTCGTAACGAAGATAACAAAAGAAACAAAACATTTAAGCGGCAAATCAGTTGCAAATGATGAAGGAGATGAAGAAGAAGCAGATCTTGAAAGTGAAAGACGACCTGCAAGCTCAGGTACGATGGAAAAAGGCAGCACAGAAAAAGGCTCAGCCAAACTTTCTACCAAGGTTAAAAAGATAACGTCAAGTTCCACCCCTTCTAAAAATACAGAAAAGGTAACACTCGTCAAAGTGGAACGTGTCCCATCAAGAACAACCATCGAGGCTAAACGAAGTGAAGTCCGGCAGGAAGATGAAGAAGATGAAGACCTGAAAGCGGATAAGGTACAAAAGTCTACAGACGGTGAAAAGGAAATAGTGATAAAAGTGGAAAAGGTTTTAAAGCCTGGAAAAAAATCACCTGGCGAGAAAAAAATAAACATAAAGGTGGAAAAGATTGGACCATCAACCGGTGAAACAAAGTCAGAGGTTTCTGTGAAGAAGGTGGCTGAGAAGCCTGTGGTTAAATCAACGGTCAGAGATGAACCCCATATGGGAAAGATCCCAGAGAGCGTGGCGAAAAAGTCTGAGATACCCGTGGTAAAGGATGAAACACCTGAAGAGACAGAAGAGGAAGATTTAAGCAGCAGTAAGAACAATGAAAAGCACGCCGCTTTCATGGACAAGAGAAGATCCAATGATGAATCTCAAAAGACTGACGAAGAGATCGAGCTAGAGTTGGAAGGAGGACGAGATAAAGAAGAAAGGAAGGCAGAAAAGGGAAAAACAGATGAACAGAAGATCGCTCATGAATTCGATAAAGCGCTGAAAGCCGAAAGGAATCGTGAGGAAGAGAAGCCCACAACAGCTCAATCTGTAAAACCGACAACACGCAGTGAGACCATTGGAACAGCGAAGGTGCAACAAGTTGGCAAAGATAATGGAAGACAAACTATTGCAGTAAAACGAGATGAAGCAGACAAAGAGCTAGCCATACTTAAGGACGAGACGGCTTCAAAGGAAGAGGACTCCAAACGAATGTTATCTGATGAAGAACTGGAGCTCGCCGAATTGGCCCAAAATGCGAAGGATAGTGAAGATAAGAAAGACAAGGAAGCGATAACAGAAAAACCCTCAATATCCACGCCAAAAGAAATTGTCAAAACGGTGAACAAGATCTCCAAGGTGACAGTAACAGTGACCAAGGAAAAGAGCAAAATGAGTGAGGAAGAAACGAAGAAAGGAGAAAAAAAGCTGACTGAAGAGTTGAAACATGAACAGAAGCAGGAGAAAGCAGCAGTAAGTATCCAACTCATTGTATATTTTCTTCTGTACTCAATTACTCTGCCGATAAATCTTTTTTATGCTGTCACATCCCAAAAGAAATAAGAGCTTCAACTTAATATTCTATATTCTTTTTGAACTGTTCATTATATATCGACAGAAGTGGGGGGGGGGGGGATTTTTTGTTTTGTCACAGTAAAACTGTATAGGTGTTTCGATAATGCACCTTTAACAGGCATTAAATTTTGCAATTTTCCGTTCAGGGTGGCAGAACATTAACAAGGAAGTAGACGTTTGCTTTGTATATTTTATGATTCTTACACTGGAAGCTTTGATCAAGCACTGTGAAACTGCTATCATATCTCAATGCTTACTAAGTCATTTTTAAAATTTTTAGACCTTGTGTTGGCCCTTATTAGCGCCTTTCGAGCTGCCAAACAACTGGAGCGAACGAGATTGTCCGCGTGGGCGCTCGCACGAAAATGAGACCTCTCGCGCGCTCGCTTGGCTCGATACTCGAATTATGCGAGCTTGCTTCGCCACTTGTGCCTTGGTGCTAATGAAAGCCTACAGTTGTTCAACCCTTTCAGAAAATTAGAATGATTTGATTTGTACTTGTATTTTGGGAAAAATCAGACATTTATTTGGTTCTCTGTGTCTCATCCTCGCTTGACTTTGTTACCTATAGGTTCGACCTGTAATTGTACAAGTAGAGAAGCTCGTGAAAAATCCTGATACCAAGCCAGAACAGAAGGAGAAGAAGACGGTCAGCAAAGAAGAACTACAGGAAGCAGAACTTGAAGACGAGGCAGAAGCATGAGTGCAACTTTTAATTGGCGCTTAAATTGTTTGATAAGAATTAGTATTTCGACGGAAATGTCGGTGATAGAGTCCCTAAGTAGTAGAATATTGATATAAAAAAGTTTTTTTTTCATTTCTCATTTGAGAATATATAGCCGTCAGTATTAAAAAAGCCGTAGAACCGTATTATAACTGTTCTTTAGTGCATAGAACATTTCAACGTCCTTTTAGAACTATCTTAGCAATCGTAATGAGGGCCGTTACAATTTTCTCGTTAGAAGATACTCTAACGGTGAAAATGCTCGTCAATAATAAAGAAAAGCCGTATCAAAGATATAGTGCCTGTATTTTTTTTGTTCAGTTTCTGGTTACTAGCATTGACAATAATCTGATTTATCAATACTGGGATCAACTCAGCGGGAATTTCCCCAAACTTAATAAAGAGAACAGTGAGAAATTATAGAAGTCGCATTAAAGCAAGCTTTTTTTTCTTTTCTTTTGTAATCGGAACTTTATTCGGCAAGTTGCTTTGGAAGCCTCCGCAAAACCATAATTTAAGGAACAGTTGTTCACGCAGATTACGTTTCTACAATGCAAACTGACTAATATTCCGTGGTACACTTTGCAAAAACGGCTCAATAACCGTGCTGAGGGCTTGGAAATAATCATCGATCAAATGAGGCTCAAATAACAGAACCTGGGCGGTAAAAATCAAATACCGATCGATTATACAAGTTGTCAGAAAAATAGTGACGATAATTTTAGTTAAAAGCCTTCTGAGACGGCTCTTGTTTCACGAAGATCAATGCAATCAAGGATAAGTAGAAATTCTTAAAGTCTTTTAACAATTCTGGAGCCAGAACGGAAAAAAGTCGCAATATTTCATTCATATTTCAAATAATATATTTCCTGCGAGTACTGAAATTATTTTGAAATATAAAGCAAACTCTGAACTTGTACTGAATACCACAGTACCCGAGCTAACTTGAGCACAAATGAGTTTGAGACGCGTTCGGTAGCCGGAAGTTTGAGACTTTTCTTTAACTCATGGGTACTACAGATATTATGTAAGCTTTCTGTGGTTTAAACTGCGATCTAATGTATTTATAAAAAAGATGCAGTTGACGGTGTGAGGCCAAAGGGCACCAAAACTAGATGCATTATACTTCTGGTTTCCGTTTGCGTGTCCACTTATTCATTATCAACACCATTAGATTATATTTCCTGTCACGCAAGCCTCTTACTGGGCTCAAGCTATAGAAGAGGTGGAATGGGAATGGTTCTTCGTAGACTGGGCTACTAAGAGGTTTGTTTCCTAAATTAGAGAAGTCGAAAAAAAGCAGAATCATTTTCAATGCTTTATTTGATTCATTGATAAATTGTTAACACCTTTAATAAGCCTCAAAACTTTCAGCTGTTGCTTTCCATAACCTCATAAAGCCCTCTGATATCCATGTGCTGGCTTTTTAGCACTTTCCTCTTCATTCATAAACAGAAGTAAATAAAGAGGCTTACAGTCTAGTACATAAGATCATATGAAAATCATATTTGCGCCATTTCTCTCTTTGACCCTCAGTTATTGCTAATCTTGCCTTCAATCCATTTGACGAGATACGAAACTCTGGCATAGACACCAGGCCTTCCCGGCCGTGCGCAGCCATATCCCCAGCTGGTAACACCATGTACACTGTACCTGCCATCTCGACCCTTGCAGACCATTGGACCGCCACTATCTCCCTGACAGGAATCTTTGCCTCCCTTTGGAAATCCTGCACACACCATAGACTCGTGTAATTCATTTCGGTAATATCCTTCACAGGTTTGTTTTGACATTATGGGAACTTGCACTACTTGTAGCTTTTCGGGTTGGTTTCCATTTTCTTTCAAATTGCCCCAACCGGTGATGGCGCATGATGACCCAGGGTTTGGATCAGATGAAGGTAGACAAGCGAGATTTGTGAAGCTTGGAATAAATAAATGCCAAATAAATATTAGGGACCGGCAAGGGAATATTTTATATCCTCTTTAAACTGGGGTGGGGGAAGGAAGAGGAAAGTTGGATGCTTTTTGTTTTGCCACGGTAAAACTTACCTAATCTGATAAGACTCTCTAAGTATTCCGATGCTGCCACCGCATTGGCAGTCAAGTTTCTATAGTACCCCTTTTATACTTTGTAAGCGACGACTCATCCCTTCTTTGTTTTCCGTGACACCCCTGACAACCATGTGGTACTCCCAAAATCTCCCACCCCCGACCCCCTCCGGCAATAAGTAATGGCTGGTCGATTTAACCAAAAACGTTTTTGCTCCTCTTCTCTGTTTAAAATTGGCGAAGGGGCTGGTAACCTAATATAGGAAAACATAATAAAAACGCAGTGGACAAATTGACATACTGAAATACTTTTCGTTAAGATGGCCTTGGAATTTATGTGGTGTTTGATCTGAAATGAACAAAAAACCTTCCTTCTTAAGCTTTCTCTTTTTGATCACGAGATTCAGTGAGAATAATACATGGGCGCGTGTAGATTTAACAAATCGACAGTGGTTTAGTGTGGTCTGTACTCTTATCGAGTGGTCTGTACTCTAATCAAGAGGTCTGTACTCTTATCGACTGGTCTGTACTCTAATCGAGAGGTCTGTACTCTAATCGAGAGGTCTGTACTCTTATCGACTGGTCTGTACTCTAATCGAGAGGTCTGTACTCTTATCGAGTGGTTTGTACTCTTATCGAGTGGTCTTTACTCTTATCGAGTGGTCTGTACTCTTATCGAGAGGTCTGTACTCTTATCGAGGGGTCTGCACTCTTATCGAGTGGTCTTTTGTCTTGTCGAATGGTATGTATTCTTATCGAGTGGGCTGTACTCTTATCAAGATTCGTGATCACAACGGTCAAAATGTGATGGACTAACGAGGCGAGGTTGTGGATTAACGATTTTCCGCTTTTCTTGTTATGCAAGTTAAAAATGTCCATTTTGCAAATTACAGATTTTGATTTGGTTTCATTGCCTTATTGCAAATTACTAACAGTAAACCCTTACTGCGAATCAGAAACAAAAAAGAAAAAAAAACTATGACATTCATTAAAACAATTGAGGCCAGGCGACATGTGGACGAACAAGAGCTCTGGGATGTTCGAGAAGTTATATTGTGAAAATTGTTCCTAATTTAGCACGAATTCTGTTATGGTTTTTCTCGGGCCGGAAATCCTTTCAAAACAAGGAATAACGCGCCAGGGGTTATTTAAGAAAGGAGCTAAGACAAACCGACAGATTAGTGAATGAAAACTTATATATTTGTGGTCTACTTACTCGTTAAGAGTAGCGGGACTCTCAAGCTTCAGGAGGGCAACGTCATGACTCATATCTTTTGGCTTGTTGTAAGACTCGTGCGTAATAATTTTAACCACCTTGAACTTCTGTTCACCTTGAGATGTGGAAGGTTTGTCCACTCGATAATGTGCACCCATCCTATTAATGTCAGGAAAAATATCAAAAGTAGAAAAGATCTAAATCCAATCTGATCATTATAAAGACTGTGCTTGAAAACAAACATTACTTACAATACGAAAGGGTCGAAATAAAGGTCCTCGTGGTGAAAGGGATGTTCACCGTGCAAATATTTTTGAGCAAACTTGCACGTGACCAGTATCTGTTAGGGAGTGGGTGTATGTCTCTTATTTTATTTTATATTTTTTAGGAGGGGGTGGGGAGGGGGTGGAGTTCCCGTGAAATATGTTTGAGCTCTGTATGTTGTACACCAGCTGGGCTGGGTTGCTCAAAACGCAGTTAACCTTAACCCGGGGTTAAGTTTAGTTTTACAGCTCTGCAAAATGATTTTTCATTGGTATTTTTAACCCCTTTTTCTTAGACATATTGAGAAGACCCAACAACACCTTAGCTCTTATATGCGCTCTTCTAAATGAGAAATTGAAGTCAAGGTTTCCTTTTAATCTTAGGTCAACCTTAATCCCTCTTTGAACGACCCGGCCCAGAAGTATAAAGAAAGCTTAAAAGATGTAAGCCTTGGTAAATTAGAGGTCCTCACCGAATAACAATATTTTTAGGCTTTTCACCCTCCACACAATGAGCTGCAGACAGTACCCATTGTGGACGAATCAAGGTTCCACCGCAAAACTGGTAACCGTTCTTTTGGAGAAGGGCTTGCCAAGGATAATCACCTCTTTTTGCTTCCATACCTCCGACAATCCTTGCAATAGGACCTTTACCGCAATCGCCTGATTGTGGATAATTTAATGTGAAAAGGATTTTCATGCAAGTAAGAAAAATGCGCTCGTTAATAACCTCAGCAATTACATTTGTAGTTGTGTGAAGAATATCAGGGTTGTAAATTTTCTCCTTTTTATTATACACAAAAACTGTCCAAGGGAAAATAAAAAGTTACGAGCAAACCAAAACAGGGGAAATGAATGGAAAAATATCAATTTTTTCGTGGTAGACACGAGAAACCTAATGCTCATTGAAAAAAGATTTATCTAAAGTGCCTATTCGTCCAGCTATTTACTTTGCATGTTATGTTCTATTCACACATTAGCAGGAATTGCTTAGGGTTAGATCAAGATTAGTTTCATCTGTTTGAGCGCTGCAAGTGTTTCCTCCTTCTACTTAGTTTTCATCATTTTCAAGCGTTTCTAAATGAACCGAATCATTACTGGCAGCATTGCTGGTTCCGCCTGTAATTAAGGAATATGTTGAAAAAAACATTCTTTTCTTTACCAGGCGGGGACGTCCCAGGTACTGAAGGAGTGTTTGGTGGTGGAGGCGAAGGTTGACCTGTTGGTGGTGGAGGTGTTGGTTGGCCTGTCGCTGGGGGACTGGGTCCGCAATTATCCGAAAGCATAATGTCATCGATGGCTATGGAATCTTTCTTTTTCCCTCTCACACCATATACCACGATCTGTTTCCATTCAACACAAAACAAGCAAATACGTGTACAAAGTAAAGTATTGAAAAGAAGAAGAATGTACCATAAAAAAAGAATTGTGGAGATGAATGGAGAATATGAATACGGATTTGAAATAACAAATTGATATCTTTTATTAATTTTTTTTATAGATGCCCTAACAATAAATAGCTCATTTGCGATATTCCGGTGGATTGCCTGGTTGGCCATGAGACCGAAAATTTCTTTTTATACTTTTATCTAATAGTGTCAATGCTCTCAGATTATGAAAAAAGGAAAAGGGGACCGAAGGATACAAACACAAATTACAGCCTACCTTCTTGTTTACTTTATTGATGGTAAATGTTGCTTTGTGCCATTTCCCATCTTTTGTAGCTTTCAGATCTTCAAAGTGGCGACCGTCGACGAACACTTCAATTGCGCTACCTTTTGCTCCGTCAATTTTATACCAGAAGGAGAGACATTTATCCATAATTGAGGTCTTAAAAAGGAGACCAGCATCAAAGTTTTTCTTGCCTTTTCCAAGCAGCATATAGTGACCTGTATTAAAATGATAAAGATTTAAGTATTCTAAAGACATTTGCGTAGATTTGGGTCAATTCAATGTTGAACCATTTCACACTTTGGCTAAGGTTGAAAATGCTGTTGTCTCACTTGTTTGCTAAGGCGTGAGTAAGAAGAATTCAATAAACAAAACGTGTTTCTGCTTTTTTTTTTCTTTTTCCGGAACATTCATATTGTAAAAAAGGGTTTCACATACAATCTTCAATAAAGGTGAGACTCGAAATTGCCGCTGTGTGAGAAAAATTAAAAGTAAAGGAAAAGGACAGTCGGGGCTAAGTTCGGGAGGGCAAAATTGCCATGATAGGTGAGTCTAGAGACAGCATTACATTTAGATGGTGATGAACCCGAGAAAAAACAATTTTGATCGTTGCCTTTCTTTTTGCTTTCAACCTTTTCTCCCATCTTGGCACGATCTCAAAATCATTCAGTGCAGAAATAATCAGATTGTACACTTATTTGATAGTTTAGCCATTAGATAAGGACATTTTAAAATGTCTAAAACCTACCTTTCCCTTGGGGGGTGTTTCCTTGACGTCGAAGCCATTTCAGACGGCTTGAGGGATCGTTTTTCCATCCACAGGTTCCTTGCTCAAAACTGCAATCTTTTCATCGAGTGATTAAAGCATAGAAACAAAAAAGGTAGAAGAAGTTAGAAGAAGGAGAAACAGTAAAGAAATAAATTTATGCTTATCCCGTCTGATTCACTTTTCTGGATACCTTGAGCGAGCGAAAATGTTAGCAGATTTAACAAAATCAAGAGTATCATCTTGCGGCCTCTGTAAAAGAAACTGTGAGTGTGTGTTGCGTATGGGTGTGAAATATATAAAGATTCTATTTAGAGTAAATCAAAGCTGAAAAAACTTACTTAACTCAATGTCAAACCTGAATACATTAAATAAAATTTGTTTACAACTCATATTTAATGTTTTATGAAGATTTTAAATGTTTTAGAGAGGGAAAAACATACGTTTGCACAGAAGGTTCAATAAACTTGATTCACCTAGTCATAAAACTATCGGATGCTCCAAAAATGCTGGGGGATGTTATTTCATCATCAGATATTCATTCCATCGCTGCTCTACCATGTTACCTTCGCGCATCTCTATTACCCACGTTCCCTATTCAGCCTCCTATGATAGTATGGAAACATAAAAGAAAAAAGTTGTTTACACAATCGTTTTTTGAATAAACAAGCCTTTTTTAAAATTTTTTTAAGCAAACCTTTTAAGTTAAAGTGGTTTCAAATTTATTCATACTTTCACGATCTCCGATACTTCCTTGATGTTTGATAAAGTTTGGATTACAAAGCTTTGAAATATCAGTTATTTCTTGTTTGAACGTAACAAATTTAAGAAAAACTTTATTTTTCTTCATAACGTATTAAATTTAGACTTAAAAAGCGAGAATATTTATTTCAAACAAGGCGCAAGAAAGACACTCTCGAGAGAAAATATTTATTCAAGCATTCTTACACATTTGACGGGATGATCTTTACAATTAGCAAAATCTATGGGATGCTTAGTGATTAGGCGTAAGCATTGTTTCCTAAAGAGTACTTGGAGTACATTCATTATAAACAGTTTTTAATTAGTTTTCAAACAAGCGAGTACTACTCGTGTCATTTGAACTTTTAGCGATTGCAAAGTAGGAACAGACTGCGTTCTTTAAGTACACACAATGAAGATTTCAATAGGTAATCAACATCTGTTCAACGAAGTGGAGATGGGTAGTGGTGGATATTTACTGAGCCATAAAGCGGATAGGGAAATATCCACCCCTAGTCACCTCCACTGAAGTGAATACTAGTGTTAGTCTATTCTAGAACAGTGAGATTATTATGGTAAGCGCGAAAATATGATTTTAACTCGTTTATTCCAGCAACGATTACGATCTTTTTTGGGCGCAAGTCCCGCGCGAGCTTTTAGTGTTTACTAATGAATTATAATGTTTGTTGCAACTATTAAAAGAACTTTAGAAATAGAACTTAAATATGGTAGAGAAAACTGTAAAATGTACAATTTCCAAATTTCGATAAAATACCACTAGCAGCCTCAAGCATTTTTAATATTCATATTTCATGTCATTTCCTCGGTCCATTGTTGTTTTTCGAAATTCTACTTTTAAGGCTGTCAGATAAGTTACGCAAACATCATTATCGTTAGAACATTTTAGTTGGGTTTTTAATCGTATTTACTTATTGATTAAACAGCGAGCACAACATTTCAGTTCTTAACGTTTGCAGAGTAAAGTTACTTGATTGTGCATTTAACTAGTCCCAAACTACTTATAACAGAAAAATCCGTTCCTTTTCAGTTTAACCGTTAAAGACATAAAATTTTTTAATTGTGGAAGATCGTTCTAGAGAAGCACATACAGCATACTTACAAATAATTTTTGGCATGAAACTTCGTCAGTACCACGTCGCACCGGCTTTGCAAAAAGCTGATATGAGTACCAAAAATTAGGATTTCGAAGAAGAAAGCTGTTTCAGAAGCACATTTTGGTTCGATCTATTTGCATTTCCTCCCACCCTCACCCCTCTGCAATCACAAAAGTGTTATAAACAATATAAAAGGCCGAGCACGGAACGTAATGCTGAAAAGGAAACATATGGCAGCATTGCTAGAAACGGGGAAGTTTTTTCAAGATAGATTGTATGTAAATTGCATCATCGTTTCCTTTTACTACACATTGTCAACGGAACGAATATAACAGGATGAAATAATGGGAGGATGAAATGATCGATATTGTTATTGATATATTCAATGCTACCGCAATCAAATGTTCAGAAAACATTTTAAGTGCTTTTGGGAAAAAAAAAATCTACGTTTTGGCACAGACCCCAGCTGTTTCTACAAATTTTAAATAGCCGTAACTTTTTAAGATATGATTTACTTTGAAGAAAATCAGTGTTTGCCTAGAATATCTTTTTTTTTTCCTTGGGGTTTCACTTATAAACAAATTTAGAGAAAGATGTTTCTCGTCCTTTTTGGTGGGTCCCTATAAACTTCGTAAGGGCCTTCCTCACCATAGAGTCTCCACGGCTTAGTGGTAGAGCATCGGAGCGCGGAATCCGGAGGTTTGAGGTTAAATTCCTCGGGAGGAATCAAAATTGTTTTCTTTGTAACTCTTTGGACGCTCGTGAAAAGACGCTAAATATATCTCCTTTTCTTTACCGAGCTCAAAATTGCCAATCTTTCACATTCTATATATTAAAAAAGTAGTTTGCTAATAGCAAACTTATTATTAATTGAGTTGATAAGAATCTCCCTGATGAACGGACAGGAATATAATTCAAAATAATAATGTAGATTGCTGTTTTGAACAAAGCTTCTCAAACAGGCAAAACGGCAACTTTTCTCAATCAAGCCCTTAATAAAAAAGATGACATAAAAAGTCGATATTCAACTATTTCTGGAAGTTTATTCATTTGAGATTAACATTATCCTTAAGTAGTAAGTCAAGTGCTCATCATCTGATCGATCCAATTTCTGAACTTGCCGACACGAGCAAACACCGTATATCGCTCGGCCGCAGAGCATCTTGGGGAACCCCAGCTGACAGCACCTTGCAGAACCCAGTTCCCAGCGGAAGTCTGACAAACGTAAGGACCACCACTGTCTCCATGGCAGCCACTTAAAATAGTTCCATTGACGCCAGCGCAAATCATCTTTTGAGTTATTTGAAGAGACGAGCCTCCTAAAGATATAAACAATGATGGTTTCAAAAAATCTAGAGTTATGTTAATCCTCTTGAACCAATCACTAATATTTCGATACGTAAAGGCCGCAATCATGCAAACGCAATTAATCCATGCATCTTTCTTACGTAGTGATAAGGAAACATTTTTAACTTATCAGAAAGACACCATCTAGAGGTTTTACCTGGAGAGCTGGCAAGTTTCTTAGCACACTCGCTGTTTGTGACGGGAGGTAAATTCGCCTGTTGCAGTATGTGATGTGAGGACCCGGGATGCTTAATCTTGCCCCAACCTGTGCAACGGACATTTTATCAGAAAAATAGTGAACAAGGGTGAAATAGAAGAAATTAAATTACCAATAAAATTGTGAAGGTTTAATCACTTTATCTTATGCCTGGCATACTTCAGTTACTTCGATGCCCGTTTCCCGCGGAATCATGGTAACGTAGCAATGTAAAATTCACCAATTATATCTTGAAAATTTCGGTAGAAAACTCTTCATGGTAAACTTCTGTTTCCCTGAAGGAAACCTTAGTTAATAATTTTGTTTGCTTTTGTCGAGAATCCACATTAACATTAGTGCGGGGCGTTGATACCTCGTTTTCAACACAGAAGGATTCTTAATTGAAATAAAGGTAAAGTATGCTTTGATTTCAAGGTTTTGAATCATTGACAAGCCTTATTGGCTAAAATAGATCCTACTTGACGTGGTTTTTGAGCCATACGCACTGTCAAAACTATTCCTTTGAGGTTCTAGATGGCAAGGGTTTAATATGCTCGATTGAAAGATATCGATTATAATAAGTTGAGCTAAACAAACCCGTGATAAAGCATCTAGAAGACGTGGGAACAACTTCATCCTGAGAAGGCAGACATACAGTTTTTACTCTGGCATTCAGGGTAGCTGGTTTAGTTAACTGAATCAATGCGATGTCGCTGTCGATGGGAATTTTGTTGTAGTCAGGATGTACGATTACACGTTTGGCAGGAATATCTTCTTCAGTTCCCTCATTAACATGACGGTTATGATCTCCGAGGCGAATCGTGTAGTAACTACCAGGTCTGTAACAAAGTCGGCGTTAAAGAAATGAATTATTTGCGAAGATAGAATGAGTGCGTAACAAAGGGTCAAACTACACATGTATTTCGGAGAAACGTGTGCTCGATAATACAGAATTTTCAGTACTTGATTACAACTCTCGATCCAAATTTACAAAAATATCCGATGGCCTAAACGGCGTTCAACGCGAGTTATCAACACCCGCTTGGTTCGAAATTCCAATCGTTATCGGTCGAGTGGGTCGTGCGGCTTTCTTAAGTCAATAGACTGAAGAGCTATCACAGCAAAAGCAGCATTTAATTATAGTTTGTCAAGGTAACGCTCTTTGCCTTACGAAAATGATGCGAAAGTGTCAATATAAAATACAAATGTACTTACTGTCCTCTTGAGATGCAATGAGCTGCTGTGACCACCCATTCAGGAGTTATCAATGATCCGCCACAACTGAATGATCTACCACTTCCTCTTAATAAAGCAATCTGAAAGGAGAAAAAATTCCTAAAAATTAAGAAGAACCCGTAAAATCACCCGTAATCTAATTTGCTGCATCTGTAACTTTAACGAAATAAAAACATAGAGAAGGAAGTCGGTGACCTCATGTGTTATTCTCGAGTTGCATTCAGGATATCAAGGCTCATTTTATCCGCAAAGTTTTCAAAAATAATTGTAGCCAGCTTTAATTAAAAAAATAAAAATAAAAACTGATAGCTGATTTTGACACTTGAAAATTGAGGTCATGAAATTAGTTCTTGAGTTATAGGAATATAAATGAATAATTATCAAGAAACAGCCGTACCTGCCACGGCCAACTCCCTGGATTTGCGTTCACTCCTCCAATAACCCTCGATACTGGTGATTTACCGCACGATTGGGGTGACACTGCAAAGTAAAAAAATCGTAGAATCCCAAACGATTAGAAACAAGATATTTGTCACCTCTTTTTTTTTGCAAACTAGTGACAAATCTAGGTATTTTCGCAATATGATATTCCTTACCTGGTCCCTGTGTTGTCGGTGGGATAGGGGGAAGAGACGGTGAAGGGGGAACTCCTCCGCAGGAACCATCTTGTATAGTTATATCATCAATGGCAATGTCAGCCTGATAGGAGTCCCCTGAAACTCCTTCAATTTTAAGCTAAATAGGAAAATTATTATACATGTTACTTCCTTCCGTCAAAACGTCATATTTTGTTATAAGTAAATTGATCGAGACGTTGCCAACAATCATAAGTTGTCACACATGGATTATGACAGGAACAGAAGTAAAGGATAACAAACGATGTTCAGAAAAAAATCAAGTGATTTGCAAAATTCCATCGCAACAGATTTTACTTGATCTTCGATCAAGCTCATGGATCGAGACTGAATCGATGTCACTATTGTCATATTCAACTATTAAAGAACGTACTATAGCTATCGTAAGTTAATTTGCAGTATTTCGTCAGTACGACCGAACAACTTACTTGTGCCTGAGTCGAGGCACAGTTAGCATCACAAAAGCCCGACCAGATATCAACCAGTTTCTACGCTCAACTTACGTCATAATCACCAGTGATGGTCACTTCCGCCCTTTTCCACGAGTCTCCCTGATCTCCCTTCATGTTCCAAATTTTGTTTCCGCCGTTGTAAAGATTCAGTGCCCTGACATGAACCCCGTACATATGATAGTAGAATGAAAAGCAAACCGTCTTTCTGTTTACTCCTTTGAATTTCAAACTTGCTCTGTCATAAGGGACTCTGGGACTTGAAGTCTCAATATAAACATAATATCCTGTAAAGGAAAACAAGCAAAAGTTCATATTAAAGGACTCCATCGTAATTCTAATGTGGAATTTTTTTTATACTTAAAGTAGTCTTGTTTTCCACCTTTGACTATGTACTACATAGTACATTAACATCTTACTTTGTATGCATTTTTGTCTCGCTTTATATGACTGCATTGTTTAGGTCATAACTTTCACGGCTTTTGGCTTGAAGCCGAATCATTTTTGTCGCAAGTAAATTAGTCAGTTTCCGATTTAAACTCTCCATTTTCTTATGATCATGACTTAATGAAGATTTAAGAGAACAGGGAAGAAAAAATGACCCAAGTTATAACAGATTGATGAAATAGAATAAGCATTTGCTGAAATTATTTCTCAGTGAGCAGTTTTCGTTTCTTTATGTTCCCTAACCTTTCCCGCCGTGTCCAGAAGATGGCCCGGTCCCAGAGGAAGGAGTAGAACCACTATTTTGGGTCCAATCAAAATCATCTGATGTTGTTTGTTTCCACGAGCAGAGATCCTTCTCAAAATCACAGGATGGATCTTGAAGAAATAAGCCATTTATTCAACACGGAGATAAATAAAGTTTTTGAGGAAAAAATGTCTTACCTGTTCGTACTCTGAAAGAATAATTTTCACATACGTACGACTATTTAATTAGGAAATTTTCCTTCAAACGCTCATTTCGTGGCTTTTTAGACTTAAATTTGACATAAGCTTTTCAGAACTTTGAATATCACTTATAATATATCATTTTCACCTAGGGAACTCTAAAATGCTTATCGCCATTACACTTCGAGCACTGCGTGCCCAGCAATTTGAATGGTTAGCTTTGCGAAGTTTGGCTTTACAAATGTTTCTCTCCGATGATACAAAAAACCCCATCTGTTCGTTTGTGAGGATTAGAAAGCACTAAAAAGTAGATTATGACTGGCCACCAATTTCCTACTTTTACTTCCAATAATTACATCAGTCATTGCTGTGCTATACTACGTTATTTATACTATTTTGACTAATTCATTTCTAACTCATTTATTTAGCATCTTACCGGAGTTAGATGCTGTTGTTGGTGGTTGAGTTGTTGTTAGTCGAGGTGGCGGTATTGTAGTTGGTGGTATAATCCCACCATTCATATTTCTGTCGATCCACGACCTGAGGTATCGTACCTTGGCGTACACCCCGTACTTATTTGGAGCGGCACATCCATATCCCCAACTAGTAGCTCCCTCCAGATACCATCTGCCATTGAACTTACATACAAGTGGTCCACCACTGTCTCCTTGGCAAGCATCTACTCCGCCTTGGTCCAGACCTGCACACAACATGGAGTCGTGGATTTTTCCTGGATATCCTTTGAGACATCGTTTTTTGGATACCAGGGGGACGGACGCTTCCATCAAGGCATTAGGTTGACTACCTCCAGAAGAGAGCGTACCCCAGCCAGTGATCCAGCACTTCGTGTTTGGGTCGTCAATGGGGAGAGGAAGGCTGGAGTCTGACAAGCAAGCAAGTCCAATACCTGTTTGGAGCTTAGCAGGTCTGGCTAGCTTCAGTAAGGCAATGTCGTAGCTATATCTTAGAGGGGTATGGTAACTTTCATGGTTGATGATTTGCGCAACATCTATGTCCTGTTCTGTTCCAACGGTACCACTTACCCTATAATGAGCACCCATTCTAGAAGGAAAAGAAGTAATTTGGGTATTTAAAACTTAAAGCATTGCATATTATTTTCATTGAAAATCAATCAACTGTTATATTTCATTCATTTCCGGGAGAGATAAACGTAAAAAGTTAAAATAAACTTCCCACGATTCACAAGAGACAAATGACCCAACGAACAAACTCAGAGATAAACGTACATGACGACAGACAAGAAAAATAATTGAGATGAAAAGAAACATTTCCTTTGTCAAGGCAAAACGAGCCCGGTTACATTCTAAACAGGAATAAACCATTTAGCAAGATCACAGAGCCTATGAGTTGTTGATTTATATTTTGTTCAATTTATACCTGACTATTATTCCTGTTGGTTGTGCATTTTTAACACAGTGAGCTGCTGTTACAACCCATAAAGGATCTACCAAAGTTCCACCACAGAACTGGCCTCCATATTTGTATCTCAACATCGCCTGCCATGGCCAGCCATTGACAGAAGCTTCTTGACCACCTACTATCCTTGTGGAAGGTCGGAAACCGCATTTCCCTGAGAACAGATAAATGATTTGCAAGCTTACGTACGTGAAGCAATTCCCACACATTAAACAGTCCTCTCAGTTACTAAGCTGAGTAAAGAGTTTGTCCATGAAGCCATTTGGGAGCTTAGTTTCCTTTTCTATCTTTTAAGCTTTGTTGCAATAACTATTTGACTTTCTTAATCATTTCTATTTTCCATCAGCTTCTCTGAACCTGCCGATAAAAATCTACGAACACCTTCCGATAAAATTGTACTCCGTTTAAAGCTACGAATCTGAATATTTGTTGTTTAACCCAAAACATTAAGGGCATCCTGAATGAATATAGAAAGCAATGGCCCCTCAAAGCTTCTTTGCTTTTTTATAATTTGTGTTTGGTCCCATAGTACAATATATTAATTTTTGTTCGCGTTCTTAATGGACACATTTACCTGGCAACACCGATGGGCCCTGACTTGGAGTTAGAGAAGGAGTGGCCGGTAGACTAGGTGACGGCGGTACTACAAAGCAATTTCCGTCCGAGACAGATATGTCATCGATAGCGATGTCACCTTCATAAGAACTTCCAACGGATGCAGTGAAAACGAGCTAGTTTGGGAGAGGTAAAGGAAAAAGCTAGAACTGATTGAATGTTGGTAATTCAACTTTCAGGAATATGGAAGATATCTTTCTAATGAAAGTGAAGTGAAGAAAAAATGAAGAAAAAAAAAGTAAAAGATAAGAAAGGGATAAACAGAATCAGAAATTAATTAACAATGGGCATTGCATACCTTACAGCACATATCAATTAGTTACTGTACCTGAAAGTTGCCAGTAAGTGTGACTTGCGCTTTCTTCCATTGATCTCCTTGATCACCTGCCAACTTCCAAACATTTTTTCCACGATTATTCAGCAGAAGCTCATTGATATAATTCCCATACATGTGATAATAAAAGGTTAGGCAAACCACTGGCTTAGGGTTAGCTCCATCAAATGTTAATATGGCTGTTTCATCTTGAATCCTTGGGGAGGAAGTCTCAATGTAGATATATGACCCTATAGAGAAAATAAAGAAAATTGAAAGACTGAACGATTGACGTTGAAATAGAAGAACTAGTTGTGAAATTGCTTCTTTTTTGAGCAACTTTGGTGGTTTTTATTCTCTTACCTTTTCCACCGTGTCCAGAAGATGGCCCAGTTCCAGAGGAAGGAGTAGAACCACTATTTTTTGTCCAGTCGAAATCATCTGATGTTGCTTGTTTCCACGAGCAGAGATCCTTCTCAAAATCACAAGATGGATCTGAAAGAAATAAAAGAATAACTTGTCAGTGTAATAAATGGAGTTAGAGAGAAAAGGCAAAGATTTCTATCATCGCTTTTCAAGACTGACGAAAAATATTCAGAGATTGCTTAATCCCTAGCTGGAATACCTTTAATTCATCTGGAACTCGGAATGCTATTATCTTACATGTTCACGCTTCGCATACAGCGCGATCAGTTATTTGTATGTTAGACTTTCCAGACGTTCCTAGTCTTTTGAATGTTTTCATCTGCTTGATGGGGACAAGAGGGCGCAAAGAGTTACGTTATGATTGGCCAATTTCGCGCTCAAATCTTTAAAAAATAACAATGGCCATTGCCGTAAAGTACAACTTTATTTATCTTAATTTAACTCAATAACATATCATTTTGATGGTACTTTTATATTAAGTTTTGTGTGCTCTTGATACTCACTTTTCCCCGGCAACACTGATGGGCCCTGACTTGGAGTTGGTGGAAGAGTGGCCGGTAGACTGGGTGACGGCGGTACTACGAAACAATTTCCGTCCGAGACAGATATGTCATCGATAGCGATGTCACCTTCATAAGAACCTCCAACGGATGCAATGAAAACGAGCTAGTTTGGGAGAAGTTAAAGAAAAACTTACTACCAATAAAATGTTGAGCATTTAATTGTCGTTAGTATGGTGGGTACTTAAACGTTTTATAATAATGTAGAAAGAAGGAAAACAACGAACAAAATCAACTGCATGTAAGGAAGGGATGGACAGATAGACTAACCAGGACTCGGAAATTAATTTAGAAACTCTACCTGATAGTTTCCAGTAAGTGTGACTTGCGCTTTCTTCCATTGATCTCCTTGATCACCTGCCAACTTCCAAACGTTTTTTCCACGATTATTCAGCAGAAGCTCATTGATGTAATTCCCATACATGTGATAATAAAAGGTCAGACAAACCACTGGCTTAAGGTTTGTTCCATCAAATGTTAATATGGCTGTTTCATCTTGAATCCTTGGGGAGGAAGTCTCAATGTAGATATATGACCCTATAGAGGAAACAAAGAAAATGGAAAGACTGAACTATTGACGTTGAAATAGAAGAACTAGTTGTGAAATTGCTTCTTTTTTAAGCAACTTTGGTGGTTTTTTATTCTCTTACCTTTTCCACCGTGTCCAGAAGATGGCCCAGTTCCAGAGGAAGGAGTAGAACCACTATTTTTTGTCCAGTCGAAATCATCTGATGTTGCTTGTTTCCACGAGCAGAGATCCTTCTCAAAATCGCAAGATGGATCTAAAAGAAATAAACGAATAATTTGTCAGTGTAGTAAGTGGAGTTAGAGAGAAAAGACCTCAGCATGTTAAATTAGTAACCTTTGCTTTGTGAAGGCAAAGATCTCTATTGACGCCTTTTAAAGACTGACGAAAAATATTCAGAGATTGCTTAATTCCTAGCTAGAATACTTTTATTTCATCTGGAACTCGAATGCTCTAATCTTGCATGTTCACCTTCGCATACTGCGAGATCAGTTATTTGTATGTTTGACTTTGCAGACTTTCTTAGTCTTTTGTACGTTTTCATCTGCTTGACGGGGACAAGAGGGCGCAAAGAGTTACATTATGATTAACCAATTTCGCGCTCTAATCTATAAAAATAACAATGGCCATTGCCGTAAAGTACAACTTTATTTATCTTAATTTAACTCAATAACATATCATTTTGATGGTGCTATTATATTAAGTTTTGTGTGCTCTTGATACTCACTTTTCCCCGGCAACACTGATGGGCCCTGGCTTGGAGTTGGTGGACGAGTGGCCGGTAGACTGGGTGACGGTGGTACTACGAAACAATTTCCGTCCGAGACAGATATGTCATCAATAGCGATGTCACCTTCATAAGAACCTCCAACGGATGCAATGAAAACGAGCTAGTTTGGGAGAAGTTAAAGAAAAACTTACTACCAATAAAATGTTGAGCATTTAATTGTCGTTAGTATGGTGGGTACTTAACCGTTTCATAATAATGTAGAAAGAAGGAAAATAACGAACAAAATCAACTGCATATAAGGAAGGGGGGGAGAAATTGACTAACGAGGACTCGGAAATTAATTTAGAAACTCTACCTGATAGTTTCCAGTAAGTGTGACTTGCGCTTTCTTCCATTGATCTCCTTGATCACCTGCCAACTTCCAAACGTTTTTTCCACGATTATTCAGCAGAAGCTCATTGATGTAATTTCCATACATGTGATAATAAAAGGTTAGACAAACCACTGGCTTAAGGTTTGTTCCATCAAATGTTAATATGGCTGTTTCATCTTGAATCCTTGGGGAGGAAGTCTCAATGTAGATATATGACCCTATAGAGGAAACAAAGAAAAAATGGAAATGCTGAGCTATATTAGGTTTGTTTACATAGAAGAAATTATTTGTGCTTGTTCAGCAACCTTCTTTCATTATTTTTGTTCCCTAACCTTTTCCACCGTGACCAGAAGATGGCCCAGTTCCAGAGGATGGAGTAGAACCACTATTTTGGGTCCAATCAAAATCATCTGTTGTTTCTTGTTTCCACGAGCAGAGATCCTTCTCAAAGTCGCAAGATGGACCTTTAGGAAATAAGTGATAAATCTGTCATTATAATAAGTGAAGTTTAGAAGTAAAAAGATCTTACCATGTTAAATTAGCCACTATTGCTTTGAAGAAATTGAGCGATACCTTAGAATATGTCATACCTTCTGGAACTCTGACATACTTATATCGATCATGTTCCGCGTACTGCGAGTTCAACAATTTGTAAGGTGGGTTTTTTTTTAAACTAAACCCCAGCTGTTCGGTGGGAATAAGATAGCCTAAAGAAGTAAATTCTAATTGCCCAGTTCCGGCTTTAATTTAGTAAAGGAACAATTGACATGAATGTAGACTACTAGGTCGTTCATCTTAAATTGACAAAGAGGCATGTTATTTTGGACGAAACTACGAAAAGGAAAAAAGTACGGTGGTAAAGGGGAAACTGGATTGGCAGGCTTGGGTCTTAGCACTAACTGTTTTTGAAGAAGACACACTTTGCCCTCACAGTGCAAGTCTCTATTTTGATAAATGGAAGAACTCTTCGGCATAAATAGAAAATTTTCGGGAGTTTTGTGATGAGTAGCCTTGCCATCACAAGAGAATTAGCGGTACTCCTGGTAGCTACTCTACTCAAACGAAAGAGGGTCTAAATAGGGCTAACCATTTGCCGTAGAAGGGCCGGAAATATTTAGTTTGTGAATTTTTACCGATATTGCTATTGCGTTTTACCGGAGTTAGATGCTGTTGTTGGTGTTGCAGGTGCTTTAGTCGTCGTTGGTTGAGGTGGCGGTATTGTGGTTGGTGGTATAATCCCACTATTCATATTCTTGTCGATCCAACTTCTGAACTTGCCAACACGAGCAAACACTGTATATCGCTCTGCTGCAGAACATCGCGGAGAACCCCAGCTAACAGCACCTTGCAGAACCCAATTCCCAGCGGAAGTCTGACAAACATAAGGACCACCACTATCTCCGTGGCAACCACTGAGAATAGTTCCACTGACACCAGCACAAATCATGTTTTGAGTTATTTGTAGAGATGAGCCTCCTAAGTAGATTAACAAAGCAGGTGTGAAAAATCCGGAATCGACACAAGGAAACAATGTGACTTATCAGGTAAAGACCCTCTAAAATTCCTACCTGGAGAGCTTGCAAGTTTCTTTGCACACTCGCTGTTTGTGACGGGAGGTAAATTGGCCTGTTGTAGTATGTGATGCGAGGACCCGGGATGCTTAATCTTGCCCCAACCTGGAAAAACAAAGAACATTGCAATAAAGGAAAAAGGGTAAAAAATTAAAAAACTGGATAAAAAAAAAAATCCGTAAAATCAAAGCAGAATATTTTTTTGCGAGCCTTACATATTCCAGTTACTTCAATGGCCATTTCCTGAGGGGTTACGGTAATGCAGTTATGTAAAATTCTTCAATTTCGTCTTGAATACTTTGATAGAGAAGACTACATGTGTTTAACGTTTGTTTTCCTCAAGAAAACCGTTATACTTTTTTTTGTCTTTAAATTCCACATCAGTGCGTGGGACGAAATAACAATGTTTTCAACCCAAATGGATTTAGTACAGAAAGCGATTGCTCTGTTTTCAATGTAAGTAGTATCTTCTTGACGTGGTTTCTCTCTCGTGTCATATAAAACCTCCATAATTTATTACCCTCTAAATTTGCAAGAATTCATTCTACCCTATTGAATAGTATCAATTTGCTGAGCTAAACAAACCCGTGATAAAGCATCTAGAAGACGTGGGAACAACTTCATCCTGAGAAGGCAGACATACAGTTTTTACTCTGGCATTCAAGGTAGCTGGTTTAGATAACTGAATCAATGCGATATCGCTGTCGATGGGAATTTTGTTGTAATCAGGATGTACGATTACACGTTTGGCAGGAATATCTTCTTCAGTTCCCTCATTAACATGACGGTTATGATCTCCGAGGCGGATCGTGTAGTAACTTCCAGGTCTGTAACAAAGTCGGCGTTAAAGAAATGAATTATTTATGAAGAGGAAATGAGTGCGTAACAAAGAGTCAAAGTATATATGTATCCCGGAAAAAGCTGTGCTCAATCATGAAATAAAATCCAATTTTACGTAATTAAACTCAACTGTCGATCGAAATTAATAAAGAAATATTTACTTGGCCTCAACGGTGTTCAAACGTTATCCAACCCGCTCGGCGCGAAATTGCTCGAGTGGGTTTTGCGGGTTTCTTGGGCCACTCAACTGAAGAGCTCATCATAACAAAAGTAGCGTATTCATTATAATTGGTCAAGGTTATGCTCTTTGCCTGGGGAAATTATGCAAACGTTTTTTGGTTTTTCTTGTTTGTTTGTTTGTTTTTTTAATACAAATGTACGTACTGTCCTCTTGAGATACAATGAGCTGCTGTGACCACCCATTCAGGAGTTATCAATGATCCACCACAACTGAAAGACTTGCCACTTCCTCTTAAGAGCGCAATCTGAGGGGAGAATAAAAATCCCCAAACACTGAGAGGGCTTTGCAATCTAGTCTCTCTACATGTGACTCGAAAAACCCAAAACAAAATAAAGTAAAAGTCATGCGTTTTTCGCAACTGGACGGTGGAAAATCACGAATTATCAAGAAACAGCCATACCTGCCAAGGCCAACTCCCTGGGTTTGCGTTCACTCCTCCAATAACCCTCGATACTGGTGATTTACCACACGATTGCGGCGACACTACACAGTAGAAATTCGTACGATTAGGAACACCTTTTTTCTCAACCAGGTGACAAATCTGAGTCTTTTCGCAAAATGATATTCCCTACCTGGTCCCTGCGTCGTCGGTGGGATAGGGGGAAGAGACGGTGGAGGGGGAATTCCTCCGCAAGAACCATCTTGTACAGATATATCATCAATGGCAATGTCAGCCTGATAGGAGTCCCCTGAAACTCCTTCAATTCTAAGCTAAATAGGAAAATTATCTCATGTTACTTTCCTTTATAATCAAAACGTCGTATTTTTTTATACGTAAATTGATTGAAACGTTCAAGGCCAACAATCGTAAGTTGTACACATGAATTATGACAGAAACAGAATCAAGAACAACGAACGATGTCTTTGAAATATCCAATATTTTGCAGGATCCGAGGCCACTGCAGCGCAATTCACTTGAATTTCCATCTCGCTTATGGATCGAGACCAAATCATAGTCACGTTTATAATCGCCAACTATTAAAGAATCTAGTCATTCGTTAATAAATCAGCAGTTTTCCGTCAGTCCGACCGAACAACTTGCTATTACACATTCACTTTCTTGCGTGGGGTAATGGGTTGGCTAGATTCGGTTGTCTTTCTCAAGGAAGCATCACAACAGCCCAGCCAGAGCTCAATCAGCTTCTATACTCAACTTACGTCGTAATCACCAGAGATTGTTACTTCTGCCCTTTTCCACGAGTCTCCCTGATCTCCCTTCATGTTCCAAATTTTGTTTCCGCCGTTGTAAAGATTCAGTGCCTTGACATGAACCCCGTACATATGATAGTAGAAAGATAAGCAGACTGTCTTTCTGTTTACTCCTTTGAATTCCAAAATTGCTCTATCATAAGGGACTCTGGGACTTGAAGTCTCAATATAAACGTAGTATCCTGTGGAGAAAGAAAAGCAAAAGCAAATGAAGGAAAAAAAAAAGAACAATTTATTTGAAAGGCTTCCACAGTCATTCTTAACTAGAAAACTTTAAGTAGATATGTTCATCTAAGTCTATCTTTACTCGAGTGTATGATTTAGGAGGTAGTTTTCAAATAGTGTCCTCAGCAAGCAGTTGCTTTATATCCTCTAACCTTTTCCACCGTGTCCAGAAGATGGTCCAGTTGAACCCGAAGGAGTAGAACCACTGTTTTTGGTCCAATCAAAATCATCTGATGTTGCTTGTTTCCACGAGCAGAGATCCTTCTCAAAATCACAAGATGGATCTAAAAGAAACAAACAATTGATTAACAGGGAAGTCAATCCATTTTGGACGTAAAAAATATGTTCAATCTTTTCGTACTTAGAAAGATTTATTATTTTAGCCCGTCAAATACAACTGTTTCATTAGCAAAATTTAACTTCGTGAAGTCTAAGGCTTTTTTCTTATTTTCTTTGTAGAGTTTAATGTAAACAATTTAGGGGTTCGGGTATTCCCTAGAACATTATCTTCTGGGCTTAGACTCAAAATTCTTATCTCCATCCTGCTTTGCGCATTGGAAGCTCGGCTACATGAATGGTTTTGCTTTGTAAACTTAGTCATTTGTACAGTCCAACAAACTCCATCTGTTTGTTGCGTACTAGGAAGCAATGATAAGCATATGTTTTTGATTCGCCAATCTCGAGCTTCGTAATTCAGTCCAATTATGCGGAAGACCTGGACACTTCAAGGTCACATGAATCTGGTGTATGATATAACTTTTAACAAATTAAAAATTAAAGGAGTTTATATATATTCGTTTGACAATGTGTTTGTGCAAAAATGTTCAATAAATTAAGTTTTTGTCAGAAGGTAGTGGTGGAACAAACAAACTTCCTCGGCAAACAAGAACCTTGAGTTTGATCTTGCGAATCGCATACGGTCAAGGAACGAACCGCGTCAAGATGCTGAGATATTTTTATTTGCATTTGGGGATTGTTACATTTTGCAATAATGTCGTAAGGAGACACGATTATGTTCTTGAGTTAGCAGGTAACGAAACAAAATATTTAATAACTGACTCCATGGGAAACAGTTAGTTTTGTTTCTTCTCGACCCCTTTGTTCCCTTCGGCTTCGCCACGTCTCTCGTCTTCGGCGAACAAACAAAACTATTTGTTCCCATTGCGTTAGACGTTAATTAACGGTTATGGCATGAGAGAAATAGCACATTTCAACAACAGAAAGCACAAAAATGCGAAAGTTTAAACGCTCGAGTCTTTTCTGCCAAAGAAGCATACAAACAAGTTAATAGAAAAAAACCACTCTAGTGGTCATGGGCTCGTGTTTCAGCCTCAGTGGATCGTTACAACTGGTATTCAGCCATTGTTCCTTCACATTGAACTACCATTATGAGACCACAGCTTCGCTCTTTTGAATTTTTTTTTAAAATAAAATTTGACCTTTTGGGCTATTGTTTATATAATCATGATGAAAAACAGTGATGACCAAGAATCTAGCTGATTATGAATTCTTTCGTACCTGAAGATGACTCTATGACATACGTTAAGATAGCGCCTGTCCATTTTCTTGTCGTTATTGATCGCGCTGAACGCTTATTCGGATTTTCTGTTTAGTTACAACCTACTGCTTCTCGGTTACAGACAAAGTTAAGCACATGCTTCGCAAATTAAACGATTTTACCTTTGGGGTCTGAAGCGATCGTAGAGGCCAAAAGGCAAAGGCAAATCACAAGACCCTTCACGTCCAACATCCTGGAAAAACTGAGTTCAATGGTTTCTCACCACGAACTTTAGAACTTGAAATAAAGTAAATGTGCTTGTGCGAGTTTACTTAACTGCTACAGATGACCTAACATAAGTTGCTACAATGAAAGAAGTGTGAAAAGGATTGACCAAAGACCTACTCTAATTTCTTGGGTAACAAAAATGTGTTAGAAAATTTTGTTTGTTAATGGTGCTTCTCTCTTTTGATTTCGGTTTCTCTTGAGTACATCGATATATTGCGAAACCTCATAATTTATTCTAAGCCCCTTATTTCAGGTTCGAATGAAATTTCAAAGCGTAACACTTGGAAAAGGCTGAGAAGGCTCTTAAAGAGATAGGTGTTTAAGGATGTACTGATTGAATGAAATGTCCTGATTGCAAAATTGAGTATTTTGCGTCCAAGATTTTTTAAACGTTTCATCAAATAAAACATCGAAGGTGAGAGCTGCTGAATTGTATGTCTCGAAGGAAAAATTTATACACCAGGTATTACACACTTTTTTAAAGGAAAAAAGTGAAGGATATAATTTCGAATTATTAGAGATTCAAAAACTGGGAAAAGCCGACTTGATAGCAGTGCTCTAAAACTAATTTTAAGAATAAGTTGTCAAGCTGACATAGGTTAAGAAGAAGATTTTTCAGGTAGTTCATCTACCCACCCATTCATGCTTTTTTTTTTCCAGGGAACAAATCTCACCTTTCTTTTGCAATGCTAAATGGTGCGTGTCAGGGATGGGGTAGGGGGGAACCTTCAATTGTTCTAAAAAAAAAAATGAAAAAGATAAATCAGGGTAATAATAAGTACTTTAGGAAAACTTGCAAAATATCTGTGGTTCTCAGATCGTTCTTTAATTAGCTTTTTTCCTTAAGAATATTCCCTTTGGAAGTTTAAGATACAAAATAATTGAGATGATATTTGCTGTGCTTGAAACGTTGAAGGACACTGAACACATTAGTCAATACTTATGTTTCGCGATGACTCTTGTTAAAAAGAGTTTATTGCCTTGAAAGATTTAGAAACCCGACAACGGCTGGGTGGATTTATAAATTATTTTTGACGCATTGTTATTCAATCGGGGAGGAGGGGAATGGGAGCTAAGGCGGCGGGTTGAGCCGTTGACTACCGTGATGCATTTCAATCTCCTTGAACAAAGCCTCTCTGAATAAAACGCGGGGTCCACAGTTTTGGTCTTCATAATCCTTTGGAATACGTAAAGAACGAAATGTTACTCTATCAGAAACTTAAAATTTTACAAGCCTTTTTTTCTTTGACTTGAGAAATCTTATGAAAGCCTTTACAAAGACTCCAATACATTCAAACAAAAATACTGAGGGAAATAAAAAGATGTGGAAGAGTGGACCCGCGTAGCACTTTGTTTGCACGAGACCTGCTAAAGCGTTTCGCAGCTGTCCCCTCTTTTCAACAATAAGTAAACAACACTATAAAAATACGTTTGATACAATTGAAACATTTTTGCAGTCCTTCAGCTGATCAAGCAAAAGTTTGCTGACTGAGTGTTATATTAGGTAACAAAAGAGTTCGAGGTTACAAGACAAATAACTCGAGGCGCTGGCTGAATTTTAGCGTAATTTAAGAGAGGTATGTGACGAATTCGATTGTAATTATAGGAAAGAATGGCCAGTTGATGTGGCGCTGAAGTGATACAGACAATTTTTTTTATAAAAAAGCACACAAAAGGTACTTTTACATTGGAAAGAAATATATTTTCAAATGGAAACTTTCAGTTTAATTTCATAAAAATAAAGACAAATAAAACATATAGGAATCCAAGGAAAGTACAAGAAAAACTATCAGGTAAATATAATATGATCCAAATAGAGGGTGAGAGGGGACAGGAGACAGAAAAAAATACACACACTCAATATTTTCATGTATCAGTCAAATTAAAAAAAAAAGTTGTTCTCTTTCAAATTCATTATTTTGTAAAGAAAAACGAGGCTTAATGGTGTTCCACCTATCTAGGAGCGATTACAAATGTCGACTTATTGACCGAAATTTTTCTCAATTCAATTCTTTCCCAAGGTTTGGATCGAATATTAAAAAATAGCCGGCTGTTGAATAATTCTCCATTTTTTGTGTCACGAGCCAAATTTGATTCTCAGCAAAAAACCGAACAAGAGAACAGCGACATTAAGTGTTAATTGTTAGATTTTGTCAAACGCTGCGAATGAAATACTGTGGCCGGCACAACGGAAAAACAATTTTGCCACAATTTTTGTGGCGTTTTCCGTTGGTTGAAAAATAAAATGCGAAAACGTAAGTGACAATATTTTGCGCATCAGCTCGAGTTGATGAGACCTTTCCTTGCGAACTTTACAAACTGTCAAATTAATGTCGTCAAGTTAAAAGGAAGATTACTCAAAAAAGGTAACAAAATAGCATGCGATAAGCTGGTTGTGCTAATTAGTCCATTTGTTGCATGATAAGCTAGGTGGGTAACAAACAAAAAAGAAAAAAAATGCGAAGCTTTGTATAGATGTGGATATGGAAAAAAGCTTTCTCAGTATCCCCTGTGCAGATCTAATAAATCTTGATTGGAGGGGAAGCGGGTATAGAGGATCAGTTATCTCAGCTCATATTCTCTTGTAAAGGAATAAAAATTCAATGTCAGGAAAGCACGATCGGTTTCAAGTGGGAAATAAAAACCTGTTTGGCGAGAAACTTTAAATGAATGCGTCTTCAATCGAAAATAAACGTTCAAACTGAACGATAGTGTCTTAAATCTGAAATAGGGTCTTTAATTGGACTATGTTCTCAAGGAGGGACGATAGCGGCCTACATCAGACCTCAGCTTCCGAAACCGGATAATAGCCTTGTCTTAAATCGCAACAGAGCGTCCAAAACTGAACGAAAACGCTTAAAATCGGACAATAACTTCCATTCTAGCGGAGAACGTCGCTGAAACCAGAAAAGGGGAACAGGAAATGGAGAATGGGTTCCCGGGACTCAAAGGACAGCGGTTACCCACATAACAATTCAAAAAGGCGAAGGAAAATACTTAAAGGGTCTGCGCACCAGATTTGAGCAAGCAATCCTCGAATTCCGTCGTTAAATGAAAAAGGAAAAAGTATGGACAATAAATGAAATTATATTGAAGGGCTTTTAACTTGATCTAACTGTTGCGATCGAGTGGCCGAGAATCAATCGAAGGCCTTAAAACATTTGAAAAGTTAATTCATAGAATCCTTAAGCAGTCACAATGGCAACGCTGGGAAAGGCGTCGATTAAAAAATTTATTTAAATTTTTTGTTGGAATTTCGCAAATGGCCGGATGTGTTTACCGTGTCTAAGGGCAACATACCCCAACTTCAACATAAAGTATGTGAGTAACACTGAGTTCCAATTGGAAAATAAAATTTGCCGTCGGAGTTTCTGTTCTCAGTCAGTGATAGAGTTCCTAAGAGGTAGAATATCGATAAGAAGCAATTTAACGTACTTTCAAATTTCTCATTTGAGAACATATAGCCGTCAGTAATAAAAAAAAGTTGTTGAACCGTATTATAACTGTTCTTCAATGCATAGAGCATTTCAACTTCCTTTTAGCAGTCGTAGTGAGAGCTGTTTCAATTTTCTCGTTAGAAGATATTCTAACAGTGAAAATGCTCGTGGATAATAAAGAAAAGCCTTATCAAAGATATAATAACTTTATTTTTTGTTCAGGTGCTTGTTCCTAACATTGACAATAATCTGATCTGTCAATATTGAGATCGATAATAATCACAACTTGATTCAACAAGTTACTTTGGAAGCCTCCGCAAAACCATAATTAACGGAACAGTTGTTCACGCATATTACGTTTCTACAATGTAAACCAACTTATATATTCCGTTGTGCATTTTGCAAAAACAGCTCAATAACCCTGCGGAGGACTTCGAAACAATCATCGAACAAATGAGGCTATGTAATGGCTGAAACTAGACGGTAAAATATTTATCGATTAAGCAAATTTTTAGAAAAACAGTGACGATAATTTAGTTTAGCGCCTTATGAGACGGCTAATCTTAAATAAAAATCCCAAATTAATTACATTGAACAAGTCAGTTCAACCAATTTGAGAACAGTTTTCGACAGAATACAAGATTCCTTATAATAAACCGCTCTAATAATCTACCTGGTTAAAATGTTAGTGTTAAAAAAAAATACTCTGCACTCTTAACCCTTTAACTCCCCTATCAAATTCGTAATTCTCCTTACTGTCAACCATACAATTCTTATAATGCTAGTTCAGACATTTTAGTATTCAATCAACTAATTATCCCCAAATTGATATTTTTCTTTATTCTCGTCTCATATCTGGTTGATATTGTATTGATATTGTAAGGAGAAATTCTGTCTTGATCAGTCATGGGAGTTAAAGGGTAAACAGGAATAAGATAGTTACGATAAAAAGTTGGAAATTACTTTAAAAATAATTTAAAAATTTCTTGCGATACAAAATTGGCACTGAACTTATCAAAAAAAAAATTAAACAATTATTATCAAGCCGAGAACTAGGAAAAAATACTTAGAGGAGTGAATGGAATGGTTCTATGTAGACTGGGTTACTAAAAGGCTTGTTTCTCTAACCCTAATGCTTTTTTTGATTAACGATTCACCACACAGAGCCCTCTGATATCCATTTCCCTCTTTGCAAGCTTTGACTCTCAGTTATTCTTCATCGTGTCTTCAATCCATTTGATGAGAAAGAAAACTCTGGCATAGACACCAGGCCTTCCTGGTCGTGCGCAGCCATATCCCCAGCTGGTTACACCATGTACAATGTACCTGCCATCGGGACCCTCGCAGACCATTGGACCGCCACTATCTCCCTTACAGGAGTCTTTGCCTCCCCCTGGAAGTCCTGCACACAACATAGACTCGTGTAATTCATTTCGGTAAGATCCTTCACAGGTTTCTTTGGACATTATGGGAACTTGCATTACTTGTAGCTTTTCGGATGGCTCTCCACGTTCTTTTAAGTAGCCCCAACCGGTGATAGTGCATAATGTTCCAGGGATTGGATCAGATGAAGGTAGGCAAGCAAGATTTGTGAAGCTTGAAATAAATAAATATATACCAAATAAATATTAGGGACTGGCAAGAGAATATAAAATATTCTCTTTGAACTGGTCACTATTAATCACCGGGGGGGAGGGAAGGGGAGCAGAGAAGGTGGAAGGGGAGGGGAGGGAGTTGGATTATTTTTGTTTTGCCACAGTTAAACTCACCTAATCTGTTAAGACTCTCTAAGTATTCCGATGTTGCACCCTCATCGGCGGTCAAGTTTCTATAGTACCCCTTTTTTTCTTATTCCTTCTTTATTCCCCATGACGTCCCTGGCAACCATGTGGTACTCAAGAATCCCCCAACCTTCCTCCCCCCTGCAATAAGTAGTGACTGGTAGAATTAACCAAAAACATTTTTGCTCCATTTCTCTGTTTAAAATTGGCAAAGGGACTGATAACCTAATGTAAGGAAACATATTAAAAGCGCGGTGGACAATTTGACAAATTGAAATAGTATTAACTCTGTGGTGTTTGATCTGAAATGGACAAAGAACTTACCTTCTTAAGATTTTTTGATTATGAGATTCATTGAGAATAACACATGGACGCGTGTAGATTTAAATGGTGGTTTGGCGTGGTCTGTTCTCTTATCGACAACAATATTCATTATCACAAAGGTCAAAATGTTGTGGACTTACGTGGCGAGGTTTTGGACTCATGATTCTTACTTCAAGTTGACCTCATTTCTTGTTTTGCAATTTCGCAAGTTACAGATTTCAATTTCGCAAATTACAGATTTCCATTTTGCAAATTACATATGGCGAGTTCACTTCGCAAAATAAAGATTTTCATTTCATTTCGTTTTGCAAAATGACAGCAAGCCCTCGCTTACGAATATCAACAGGAAAAAATGATTAATGATGATATTCAATAAGACAGTTGAGGTCAGGCGAAAAGCGGACAAACAAGAGCTCTGAGATGTTAGAGAAGTTTGGCAGCGAAAATTTTTCAGAATTTTACACATGTGCTGTTCTGGTTTTTTGCAGGGCAGCAGATCCACGTAAAAAAGGAATAACGCGCCAGTGAATGGAAACTCATATATTTTGGGTCTACTTACTCGTTAAGAGTAGCAGGACTCTCAAGCTTCAGGAGGGCAACGTCATAACTCATTCTTTTTGGCTTGTTGTAAGACTCGTGCGTAATAATCTTGGTCACCGTGAACTTCTGTTCGCCTTGAGATGTGGAAGGTTTGTCGCCTCGATAAATTGCACCCATCCTATTAATATCAGAAAAAATATCAAAAGTAAAAAAGATCTAAATCCAATCTGATCTTTGTAAAGCTTGAAAAAAAAACGTTACTTACCATAAGAAAGAGTCGAAATTAAGGTTATCGTAGTGAAAGGGATGTTTACCGTGAAAATATTGTTGTGCAAACTTGCACGTAAACAGTATCTGTTAGGGGGTGGGTGTATGTCTCTTTTTTGAAGGAGAAGGGGAAGGGGGAAGGGAAGGGGGAGGGGGTAGCGTTCCCGTGAAATTTGTTTGAGCTCTGTATACTGTATCATAGTGAAAGGGATGTTTACCGTGAAAATATTGTTAAGCAAACTTGCACGTAACCGGTATCTGTTAAAGGGTGGGTGTATGTCTTATTAATTAATCAATTTTTTGAAGGAGAGGGAGGGGGAAGGGGAGGTGGGAAGGGGGGAGGGGAGGTGGGGAGGAGTTGGCGTTCCCGTGAAATTTGTTCGAGCTCTGTATACTGTACACCAGCTGAGCTGGGTTGTTCAAAATACGATTAACCTTAAACCAAGGTTAGTGTAAATTTTTGATTTAGTTTTATTGCTCTGCAAATTGATTTTTCTTTGGTGTTTTTTAACCCCTTTTTTCTTCATATTGAAAAGACCCAACAAAACCTTTTGCTCTTATGCGTGCTCTTCTAAATGAGAAATTGAAGCCACGGTGAACTTTTAATCTAAGGTAACGTTGATCCCCTTTCGAACAACCCGGCACAGAAGTGTAAAATAAGCTTGTAAGATGTAGACCTTAGAATATATGAGGTCCTAACCGAATAATGATATCTTTAGGCTCTTTGTCCTCCACGCAGTGAGCTGCAGACAGTACCCATTGTGGTCTAATCAAGGTTCCACCGCAAAACTGACGACCGTTCTTTTGGAGAAGGGCTTGCCAAGGATAGTCACCTCTTTCTGCTTCCTTGCCTCCGACAATCCTTGCAATAGGACCTTTACCGCAAGCGCCTGTAGAAGAAGCAAAAGTATAGAATGACTAAGCTGATCGTTGATGATTTAATACGAAAAGGATTTTCATGCAAGTAAGAAATAATAATAATTTAAATAATTATAATTTATTTACTTCTATAGCGCCCTTTAACATTTATATGATCAAAGGCGCTTTACAATTAGTGTCTCTTCCACCCATCCTACCCCAGGGGAGGACATCCACCACACAGTAATCTCGTGCGTGGGAAATTAACGTCTCCTACCTCAACCCTGCAGGAGACGGGGCCTACGGTTTTACGTCCTATCCGAGAAGACGAAGCAATGTGAGTGAAGCGTCTTGCTTAAGGACACAACGTCATGCCCCAGCCAGGACTTGAACCCGGGCCGTCGGACCCAGAGTCCAGCACACTGACCACTGGACTACTCACGCCTCAAAAAAGGGATGCGCTCGTTAATAACCTCAGCAATAACATTTGTAGTTATGTGAGGAATATGAGGGTCGTAATTGAGGATTTGAGCAAATATTTGCTCCTCTAATTGGTATACACAAAGGAAAGACACATCGTCCAAGGGGAAAATAAAAAGTTACAAGCAAACCAAAACAGGAGAAACAAAATGGAAAAATGTGAACATTTACGTGGTAGACTCGGAAACCTTAATGCTTATAAAAAAAATTATTATTTATCTAAAGCACTCAATCATCTAGCTATTTATTTTGCATCTTATGTTCTATTCATACATTAGCAGGAGTTAAGTTAATCTTTTTGAGCGCTGCAACTAGTGTTCCCTCCTATACTTAATTTTTATTGTTTTCATGCGTTTCCAAGTGAACTGAATTTACCACTGGTAACATTTCTGGTTCGCCTGTAATTCAGGATTATGTTGAGAAAATATTACTTTTCTTTACCTGGCGGGGACGTCCTAGATACCGGAGGAGTGTTTGGTGGTGGAGGCCAAGGTTGACCAGTTTGTGATGGAGGTGTTGGCCGGCCTGTCGTGGGAGGACTGGGTCCCTAGTTATCCGAAAACGTTATGTTATGTTATACAAAAGCTTTCCTTTTCCCTCTCACACCACATAACACGGTCGATTTTCATTCAACACAAAACAAGCAAACATGCATACAAAGTTAAGTATTGAAAATGAAAATAATGTATCATGAAAAAGAATTGTGGAGATGAATGGAGAATGTGAATACGAATTTGAAAACAAATTGGTATCTTGAATTAAATTTTTTTAGATGGCCAAACAATAAATAGCTCCTTTGCAATATGCCCGTGGATTGCTTAGATTGTCTTTTATTCTGTATTCTACGAGTGTCGATGCTCTCAGATTATGAAAAAAGGAAAAGGGGACCGAAGGAAGCAAACACAAATTACAGTGTACCTTCTTATTTACTCCAATCACTGCCATTTCGCTGCCGATAGGAATCTTGGCATGAATGCCTTCTTCAGTTCCCTCGTTAACATCGCGGTTATGATCTCCCTGGCGGATCCTGCAGTAGCTACCAGGTCTGCAACAAAGTCGGCGTTAAAGAAATTAAATATTTGCGAAGATGAAATGAGTACGTGATAAAGGGTCAAACTATAAAATGTATTTCGGAGAAACGTGTGCTCAATAATAAAAATTTTTAGAACTTGATTAGAACTCTCGATCGAAATTAATAAAAATACCAATGGTGTTCAAACACGAGTTATTGGTGCGAAAACCAAATTGTTATCGGTCGAGAGGGTGGTGCGGTTTTCTTAAGTCAATCGACTGAAGAGCTTATCACAACAGAAGTAACATTTAATTGTAATTTGTCAAGGTAACACTCTTTGTCCAGGAAAATGGTACGAAAGTGTTTATATAAAATACAAATCTATTTACTGTTCTATTGAGATCATGACAAGAAAGGGGTGTGCGTAAAGTGATCAATGATCTTAATGAATCTCGTGGGTCTCGACATTTTCTCTACATTATGAATTAAAGGACAAGTCTTGCACCGTGAGCGAGCGCATTTGACCAAAAAGTTGCCTATGTTTTTGTCACATTTGAATGAAACTAATTAAGGTTGCGACAAGATAGTACAAGTCTCTGAATCGTTTTGGCGTTCGATATGATCGATAATATGATATAATCAAAGTTCACCGTCCTTGGGTACATGAGGGATTTTCGCCAATGTGCAGGCTGCGTAACAACTGTGATATACAAGTACAACCAAATCCCCGTCGGCTGGATGCACTAGATGGCAAATTTGGTGTTCTGAAATTAGCTAAATCTTTTATCACATAAACTACGGTATTATACTAAAGAAATGTAAAATGGTTTCCGTGTTTACATAGCCTGATGTAAACACGCAGGAGGTTGGGAGAACACGAGATAAGCGTAGGAAACCACAACGCGAAGCGGAGTGGTTTCCAGTTTATCGAGTTTCGCAATTGAAACGAGGGCAGGCGAGATTTAGTTTACTATCGCATTCGGACTAAAATTTTCTACTTCATCGTAACTCGTTAGAAAATGTCTGTGAAGGACCTTTCTGAAAGAAGCAACTGTTGTCGCCTCTTTTTTTAGGTTAGTAGGGAGCTGGTTCCACAGCCTTCTCGGACGTATACGCTAAAGGACCTCCCTCCTCGTTCCGCGATTGAAACGAGGGCAGGCGGGATATTATTTACTATCGCATTCGGGCTAAAATTTTCTACTTCATCGTAACTCGTTAGAAAATGTCTGTGAAGGGCCTTTCTGAAAGAAGCAACTGTTGTCGCCTCTTTTTTTAGGTAAGTAAGGAGCTGGTTCGACAGCCTTCTCGGACAGATACCCTAAAGGACCTCCCTCCTCGTTCCGCGATTGAAACGAGGGCAGGCGGAATATTATTTACTATCGCATTCGGGCTAAAATTTTCTACTTCATCGTAACTCGTTAGAAAATGTCTGTATAGGGCCTTTCTGAAAGAAGCAACTGTTGTCGCCTCTTTTTTTTAGGTTGGTAGGGAGCTGGTTCCACAGCCTTCTCGGACGGATACCATAAAAGGACCTCCCTCCTCGTTCCGCGATTGAAACGAGGGCAGGCGGAATATTATTTACTATCGCATTCGGACTAAAATTTTCTACTTCATCGTAACTCGTTAGAAAATGTCTGTGAAGGGCCTTTCTGAAAGAAGCAACTGTTGTCGCCCCTTTTTTTAGGTAAGTAGGGAGCTGGTTCCACAGCCTTCTCGGACGGATACGCTAAAAGGACCTCCCTCCTCGTTCCGCTATTGAAACGAGGGCAGGCGGGATATTATTTACTATCGCATTCGGACTAAAATTTTCTACTTCATCGTAACTCGTAAGAAAATATTTGTGAAGGGCTTTTCTGAAAGAAGCAACTGTTGTCGCCTCTTTAAAGAGTTCCACGCTCTTCTATACTTTGCTTGCTTCCACGATGCCTCGGGTAGCGCGTTGTTGTCACTTGAACAGTTGGACCAAACAGTTGATCCATAAAAATTGTTTGCTTTATCATTGCGTTATAGTATTTATAACCCTTATTTTACGTTTTTTTTAAAGCTGTTATCTGTTATCTGAGGTAACGATCGCTAACTTTTTCAATGGCTCTTACTTTTGATGACGTCTTCTCCATCGAATGAATGGATTCAGCTCGCTTCTTCCAAAAGCAATCCATAGCGGAAAAAATAAACAGGCGCCCGGGATAAGCCTAACAATTCCCATGTTCCACTCTCGATAAACTAAGAGAATTAGGCTCTTAACTGATGAATGTGCACCGGGGTTGTCCGTCTCCTTTGTCTTTCCACTTCAGGAAAAGAAACATATATGCTAATTACAGTATTTTAATTCGTAATTTGCATTCGTGTATTCGCGAAAAGAGGAAATATGCGCGTAACAATAATAATAATAATAATAGTAATAATAATAATAATTTATTACTTATATAGCGCAAAATACAGGCTAAACTTCAGAATACATGACGTTCATGGTTTTTCTTGAAATATCTTCAGTTCTTAATTCGATTGGTTCAAATAATCTGATTGGCTGTACAAGATAAAAGCTGTCAAAAATGTCAAAATATACTCATACTGGGTTTTATTGGTTCGAGACCCTCAGCAGAATTCGAAGCCTAAAAATAATGGCGGCCGTGACAGCGTAGCGTGTACGAAGTTTAGATTAGAGAGCGTTTACGCTTTTGAGGAGGCGAAGATGGATATCTACCGCATATTTTTTCAAAAGATGTAGTTTTCGGGTAGATGTGGGTTCTATAGCTGAGGTGAGTGGTAGTTGCTTAGGGTTAAATTCGACAAATTAGCTCTAATTAGGTGGAAATTGATAAACCGCGGAGTGAAAACTTATCCGTAGGGTAAATTTCGTTTGTTTATCAAATTTAAATGCCTTGGCGCAATCCCGAGTTAGAAATTTAACGGTGATTTACAGTAAAACACTTTTGTGGGTAAATGTATTTAAATGGACTTCAGCAAAGAGAATTTATCACTCAATCTGCAAGGTATGTAAATTTCGAATTAATGAGATAGAGCAAAAAGCTATACGTCAACAGATGTGTTCTTATACATGTGCAGCGAAATTTAAAGTACATATTTATATGTTTTAGATTGAATCGATCTCAAGAGAGGTGACAAACTAAATTGGGATGTCGTCTTTAACCTTAGGTAGCAATGACTTTGATTTGCCTGCCTGTGACGAATAACACAAACATTCTCAATCGTACATGAACATGGTATAAATAGGAATCTGACCATTACCTTTTCCTAACTATGATATTTACCGGTACTTACATTCTTATTCAACTCACACATTCATCAGGGCATAAAATTAAAGCCATCTAAGTTATGCTAGTATTTTAAGTCAAGTAATGTAAATTAAGTAAAAACTGTTGCATGAGACTTCTTTTCTAATTTCATGTTCACAGTGTATTTTTTTCAATCCATAGGGACAAGATAGCTCAACAGCACAGCTATCTTGCAGTCAAACATAATCTTTGACTTGCTTATGATGAAGGTGAGCAATTAGTAATGAAGTGTTAATTACCAGTAACATATTTGCTCTTAATCCAAAGCTTTTGGCAGTGAAAATGATGGACAAAAATCTCTTTCAAGCAGCTTATTACCTTTTTTTAAATGGTCTGACTAAATCATTTAAGGGGATAAAAAGGTAAGAATGCTTGATCAAAATACTCTGTAAATGTACTGTAATCTTCCAGGATTGTAGCAATTTCAGAGCAACTTTTTTCTTGAGAAGAGTACTTGTTGCCTCATCTGACAACTCATAGTCATTAGCATTGGGAAGCTGGTTATTCTGCATTGAGACGGTTGCATCCCATACTTTTATATCAGACTGTAGTTGTTTAGTGGCCTTCAGGACAAGAACTTGTATTTATGCCAGGTGGTTCTCATATCTGTTTGCACAATATCTGGATTTGGGGTTGCAGTTAAGGTTGTTATGTGATTTTTCAAGCTGTATCTCTTCAGGTGTTTTACCTAGTGAACCTCTGCTGCTTTTGCTGTTTTTGAAGTGAGGGAGTGGTTACTTTCATCTGACTTAGTACAAGTTTAATGCTCTGAAAGCTGTGGAAGTTGGTTTTGCTCTAGAGACTCTTTGCCATTTTCTTAAGGTTCTTGTTCCTTTCTTTGTTCTTTGTCACTCTGTAAGTGGTCATGTAAGTTTTCAAGTTGTGATTCTTCTCTAAAAATAACTGCAGCAACTTCCATGTCATTACCATTGTCTATGTCCTCACAAGATGGTTCTTGAGAAAAGAAAAAAAAGGGACTAGACTATAATTTAATTGCTACATTTGTTTTATCATGTAAATGAATTTCCTTGTAGTATTGATATAGTACTTTACATACGCCTAATTACTCTCAGGCAAAAATCAAGATCTATACCATGTAACTAAGGAAGCAATTTAGTTCTCAATTGCTCATTTTCCTGTGCTGAAATGAAGCCATGGGAACGAATATGTTGTGTGTATTTTGGTTGCTTATTTTCCTTTACATTTAGTGTACATGTACATTTTTACATGTTTCATTTCACTGAAATTTTATCATTGATTACTATTAATTATAACTTGAATGCAAAATACCTTGTGGTTTAGTACTGAGATCAGTTTCGTCTGGCTGACATTCTTCAGCGGCTGAGGGGCTGTCATCATTGAGATGTAACTTGTTGTAAACTAGTTCTCCACTCTTACTTCTCAGCTGGTATAGGGGCAGTTCTTTGGGTTTCTCAGAACATTGTTTCCAAGCAGTCTCCAAGCTGGTTTGAATGGCTTTGACTGAACTTGACCAGAACTGAAAAATGCGAGGACCCTCTGGGTGATGTGTGGCTTCACTAAGGCCATCATGGAACTCTACTGAACCATCATCTTTGTTAACAATTCTTTGCTTGCTGTTGTGTTGGCTCTATCAATTAACCTCTTTGACAACTTTG